GGTGGTCTGGGTGCCTGGTCCAGCTAGGTTTAACCTTTTTTTTCAATAAACATAGCAGTTTCAAAGAAACTGCTATGTTTATAAATGGGTTAATCCAGCCTATAGTGGGGACCCTGAGGGTGGGGGTACCCTCAGGGCACTATAGTGCCAGGAAAACAAGTATGTTTTCCTGGCACTATAGTGGTCCTTTAACAGAAGAGAAGTAATTTGCCATCTCTTGCAGGATTTTCTGTACACCTCCTATGTGTAGGCTCCTGGCTGATGAAGTGCCAATAGCTGGAAAAAAGACCCAACAAGAAGATGCAGCACCCACAAGAGAGCTCCAGATAAATAAACTAGGTTGTAATATTATCATATTACAATGTTCAAGATCACTTCCCCTTCAGTGGTTAAAGGAAACCATATAAAACACAAACTGAAAGGATCTGGATAAAGACATATAGAAAATATTTATTTACAAACCATCTCACCTGACAGGGAAGTCCACCATGTCATTGATCTTGTCTCTCCAGATAAATGTGCGAAAGGAGAAGCGTTTGAGCTGAATAATTAGTATATTTGGGAGTCTCCAGAGCATAAGCTGCTTGGAAGCCTCTCTGTGCTGATTACATTTGGGGCAGTACCTACATTGGAGCAACACAGGAGAAAATGCAGAACAAGAGCAATTAAGATACAGCCTATATTAAAACCTCACATTTTCCAGGGTCTGCATTATTTTAATTTCATTTTTTAAATATTTTCTCACCAAGCTTCTTCTGGGGCCAGGACCTCTGGTTTTGTAAAGAGATTTAGACACTGGTCTAGGGTGAAGAGCCCAGCCCTAGCAGCTTCACTTGCTGATCCAGGATCTTCCTCACACTCCAATTCCTTAGACTCAACCAGTACAAACTCCTTCATACGCTCATTATTTTTCCAGACCAGAGCAAGCGAGCAGTCATCGGTCAAATCCAGCAGTGTATCTCCTGTGATATATGTGTACAAGCTTTGTGTTAGACACCAAAATAATTATCAGGAACAACATTGAGAACTGTGGGAAACAGCTAATTTTGGCAACAGTTTGCTACCAGAATTTATCTTTAGAAGTAAAAAAAAAATAAAAAAAAATAACTGTCACAAGGACATGATCAGGAGGAGGAAATAAAGGGTTCTTATAAAGAACAATTTAGAGGCTACCTGCTTACAAAATGATGCAATTGCCTTGAAAACAAAAAGGTATGTTCCCACTGATCTTCCCTGCTTCACTCATTGCACAGAAGCAGGGAAGACTAAAGAGACTTTTTTCAAACACTGTCTGACCCAAGGTGCATGTATATGACTGAAGTATCCTGTCATATACTACAGGTAGGTACGAGTTTCTCTCTTTTTGGGTTTTTACATATACTTAATCAAAAAATAATAATAATAATAATAAAATCAATATAGGGAGCTATAGTGCCGGGAAAACAACTTAAATTTTTCTGGCACTATAGATTCCCTTTAAGGTTTAAAGCATTTGTCCACGATCTCAAATAAAAACAAAAAAACAACCTTGAATTTGAGCTATAGATTTGTTCCACCATAATTTAAAAGCTTCTCTTCAAGTACCCACCTGTGACAACATTAAAGGGACACTCCAGAACCCAAAAGCACTTTAGTTTGCAGTAAAGCTTTGTGTTACTCTGCCTACACCCCCTCAACTGTCAGACAACTTATCCTGTTACTTCCTGGTTTGGTTAGCTCAGTGGAGCTAAACTCAAAAGGCAGCAATTGCTCAGAACACCTGCCTTGCAAAGACTTCTCATTGTGCTGCCATTGTAAGACTGATTGGACAGCCACAGAAAGTCTGGGCAGAGTAAGAAGGTAGCAGACAAGAGAAATGCAGGTTTTGCAAGCTTTTAGATTTACCCCACTGGAAAAAAAGGCATAAATGTTTTCACTTGAGGTATATCAACTAAACAGTTTTGTGTGTGGGCAGTGGGTTGTCCCTTTATGTATGAATGGGGATTTATAAAAACAACAAATTAAAATTTTTTGCTAATAATTTTTACACATATAGTGCAACTAAAAATTACTCAAAATAGATTCATAGATCAGTCATGATTATTAAATGCCTAATATGCTTAGGATCTAGATTAATGTTTGTTTCAATTCCAACCTCCGCACCAACGCTATACCAACCTTATCCGTTACACAACACTTTCACTAAATCTAACTATGCCTACCCTAATCCTACTCAACCTCAATATCCTACACTATCTTTAACTCTAAAACAGCATTAACTTACCCTACCTACTAATCCCATCCCTAACCCAAAGGTTACCCACTGCTAATATCAATTCTAATATTAGAAATTGGTTTTACTATTTGACACAGTAGAAGGTGGTATGTTGCCACTTTCTACTGGCCGTTTTCACAATTACATCTGGTGTGATTCTGAATGGAACCCTGGATCTCAGCCAGTTATACAGAGATCGGTGCTGACTGCTGGCAAAGCCTAGCACCGGTCACTAATCGTCTAGGAGACCCTGCCAGGTTCTAAAACAGTCCACAACCCATAAAAACCCCACAGCTGAGCACGATCACTCAGCCGCAGCTTTATGGTTGAATTAAAGGGCTCTGTGCATTACTAGCTTCCAGCATGGCACATAGCTCAATTATCAGTCTGGAGTCACTCAAAATGAACCCAGCTGACTAGCAGAGACCCCAGGTATATCTGGGGTTAGTCACGTGAGTAAGCATTTAACTCTGCTCACACCACAATTTTTAATAGGCATTTAAATGCCTAATTAAAGAGTTGTTTGCAGCGCAGGCTTCCAGCTCTGCAAGCAGTTCATCCAAAAGTACTGGTCCCCAGCAAACAGAGGGCAGCACCAAGTAACTTCGTGCAACCTGGTGTGAGGAGAGATTTCACCTTGCTGACACCAAATTTGTAGGACATTCTATGTCATCTTGCATTCATTTAATCCCTCTTAGCTTGGAACAGCATAAAATGCCGTAACGTCCTTAAAGGGTTAAGCTAGACAATAACCAAGTACAAGAAATTCATTTATAGCATACATAACTCTTTTCTGCGAGAAATACCAGACAAGTACATTAAACATGGAAAGTAATGGAGTCAAGGATGCGCCAAAACCTGAACCAGTTATCCAAAATAACAGGCATGTTTAAAAATGTATTCTACACTAAATTTATTGTCCTCAAAATGTACAGGAAAGCTACTTGCCACAATCTTTTATTTGATTCTCCACAAAAATACATCACATGTCCACATTTATCTCACCTCAAAATGATTCACTTCGCATTCCAACAATACCTGGCGGGATGTTTTATGCCAAGTATTATGGAAAACCATGTGTGTCAGACTCAGCGGAGATAGAAGAAAATGCTAGCATTTATGTTAACAGGGTTTATCTTTAACAACAGATGTAAATGTTTAAATAGCAATAAATAAAACATTCTATGTTGTTTTTTTAAGTAAATTTTATTTTTATAAAGTGATACCATGACACTTTTTTTCCCCACTTTCAGTGATGAATGACTATACTAACCTTTATCTTCCAATTTCACTTCTTTGCTGGATGAGTCGATAAGATTGATATAAAATAAGGAGGCATGAGAGCTCAGGGAATCTACCGACTGCTGGTAACCAGGGACAACAGCTGAAAATAGCCAAGACAAGAAATAAAAAGATACTGATATTGGCTTTCTAAACATTACTGGCAAAACAATTCTGCAGGTGGACCTTGTTATGGAATGAGCAAATGTACATTGATATATCTGCAAGAATACTGTGAATGGAACCATTTGTGATACTGATACGTATTATTGTAGGTTTGTTTTACACTGAGAAGCTGTGCCTTCCTTTTGCAGAGAACACCTCCAATTATCTGGCAGTTTATGTTCATATTTGTTTAAGCGGGATTGTGAGAGAAACGGATTTTTTTTTTGTGCAGTTCTAAATTAGATTTAGTAATTTCAGGAGTGATTCTATTCGCTCAACTTGTGATGAACCCATTTATATTTAAATATGCTAAACAGGTTTAATGATAAGTCACAGTTGAGGAAGATAAATAAACACACAAAAAACAATCTATACAAATGGTTGCAAGGTTAGCGCATTTTTAAATATTCTGACGTGTAACATCTCCAAAGATAGTGTTTTGGCAAACCGTATTATGGGCTGGATAAAAAGGTACAATCAGAATTGTGTGGTTCTGGCTTAAACATAGGCAAATTGACATGTTCCTACCTTCTGGTTTGATAGATTTTTCAAATGTGGTTTCTTTCTCACCCCCAACTGTATGTTGTTCAGAAAAGCCAGAGTCCATGCTTTGCATAGAGCATCTTTCCAAAGAAGATTTGCCATGGATAGAACTACAGTCTACTGACTCCGGGTGAATTGTGAGAGATGGGGGTGATTTTGGAGGGTCCGGCACAGGGTGGAAGTCTCTATCTTCGTCACTAGTCTCGCCGGAATAAGTGCAACTACACTGTCCAATCGAATCTTGACCTTCTGAAACTAGCGACTGAGGAAGTGGTTCTGGAGAGGTTCTACCAGGAAGGAATGGAGGCTGGAACACATTTACAGAGTACCTATGGAGAGACAGTGGTTCTCATTTGAAGTATTAACAAAATTAACCACTCATATGAGACCCCAGAGAGCAACAAAATGATGGGAATGGTGCATATGATCAGGTTGGACATAAGACAGAAAAGGGTGAGGAAAGGCATTACACTCTGCAGTTCAGTGGTTTAAAAAAAAAAAAAAAAAAGGGAATTCTGCAGCTATTCAAAGAGCCACAACAGCAGAGTAAAATATTATTCCTCCATAGGCAACAACAAAAAAAAAAAATGTACAGTCACTTAAAATTAGTTACCTGTCTCCAGGAAAAGAACTGCCTGTATCTTCAGCAATTTATGAAAGAAAAGTCAAATGCAAAATATAAAACATCTCCAACTCACTGTAAAAAAAACCAATGCATTGCTCGTCACAATGCGTAAGATATACTAACCTTGCATAACCCTCCAGCAACTGTGCAAGACGAGAATACGTCAAACGAGACTCTGGGACGCTAATGAGGAATGGATAACCTATGTTCTCTGGTCGACAGGCAACCTTATGATCAGGCCAGTGCAATTTCTGACAGTTTCTGTGGGACAAAGAGAAGAACTTTATAATACAGGGCTGCTGGCCTTGACTAATCCTGGTTACAGCCTGAATCGGTTTGCACAAAATTAAGGTCTTCACCTTGGCAAATACCACCTCTTCTAGCATTTGGACACTAGGATGATCTGACATTGATCAAACATAATACTAAGAGGTCTTACATTGTGTTAATTTAAACGTACATGCATTCAATAAAAAAGGTGATTCAGACTTTTTATATAAGCCTTATTTTCATACTAAAGCATGACAGGCACATGTAAAATGTGCCTGTGCATTCGAATCTTAAATTTGAAGGCTACATGCTTTCCTTTAACCCAGACCCGCATATGGAAACAGTCATAGTGACAATACCTATGGCAAGTAACCTTGTTGTTAATTAAATACTCCAAACCCTGAAAGCATTTCTGCTTACTGAATTGCTTTAGGCGTTAACATGTAAATTTAAGTTAGCAATAGTCTACTAGGAAAACAGAGCCCTAATTTATAGAGACAAGGAAATTTCACAATCAGACAAATTGGAGGAAAAAAAAAAAAAATTCTAAAATTTTCCTTTATATTGTGGCTTTGAATGTGCAAGTCCCAGATGAATTCCTGACAATTCACAGTTTAGTGAATACCCCTATAAGACTGTAATAAAAATGTAACTTACTGGTTGCAATACCCGACACGGTAGCACCGTGTACACCTTTTCAGCTTTTCCTCTTCAGATACTGGCTTCTTTTGGCAGGCAGCACACTTTGAAATTGGGATACTTGGCACCTGAGGGCGCTGCAATGAAAACATAGAAGGAAATGCACGGGGGTTAAACTACAATGTGGTCTTGGATAATACTACCATAGAAGCAGCACAGAGAGAAATCAATTTAATCAAATCAGTTGTTTTCCATGCTCAGTGATAGTTACCCAACTAACTTGTTTTGTCAACTTATTGGGAAGCTCGCAGGATTTGTTGGCAGACTGTAATATGTAGCGTGTACATACATTGCAAAATAGTGATATGATGACAGCAGCCAAATATTACCAAGGCAGAGCCAATTGGTTCACAGCATACCACTGTGCAAGGAAGAGGAAATATTTGAACTGCCTGCTGTTTTGTTGGTTTTAAATCAAGATAATTAAATGATGATGTTGACTTTGTACTCTGCTTTTATTTTAATTCCTTGATCTTTCTGCTGCCTTTGACACTGTTGATCATCAACAGCTTCTTCACATTCTCCGTAACTTTGGTCTACGGGATACTGCTCTCTCCTGGTGCTTCTCCTACCTCTCCCAGCGCTCTTTCAGTGTTTCTTTCTCTGGCTCTGCCTCTTCTCCGCAACCCCTCTGTCGGCGTCCCCCAAGGTTCTGTCCTTGGCCCCCTACTGTTCTCTATCTATACTGCCTCCCTTGGTAAACTCATCAGCTCCTTTGGCTTCCAATTTCATTTCTATGCAGCTGACACGCAAATCTACCTGTCCTCCCCTGATCTCTCTCCGCCCACCTTGACTCGTGTTTCTGACTGTCTTTTTGCTATTTCCAACTGGATGGCTGCTCACTTCCTTAAACTCAACCTGTCCAAAACAGCACTTCTAGTTTTTCCTCCCTCAAGTGCTGCTACTCCTGTGTCTGTCTCCATCCAAGTCAACTATCACCTCTACCTCGCAGGCTCGCTACCTAGGGGTTCTTTTTGATTCTGACCTCGCTTTTACTTATGTCCAATCGATAGCCAAATCCTGTCGCTTCCCACTCAAGAACATAGCGCGCATCCGCCCATACCTAACACCGGATGCGGCTAAGGTACTGGTTCATGCTGTTCTCTCTCGCCTTGACTATTGCAATCCCCTTCTCACTGGTCTTACATGTTCCCAGCTTGCACCACTGCAATCTATAATGAATGCGGCTGCGAGGCTTATTTTCCTGTCCGGTCGCACCTCCCACGCCTCCACGCTCTGTCAGTCCCTGCATTGGCTTCCAGTTAGATTTAGGGCCCAATTCAAAATTCTGGCGCTTGCTTACAAATCCCTACATAATGCTGCTCCAACATACCTATCCTCTCTCATACACAAGTATGTCCCTTCGAGAACCCTGCGCTCAGCCCAAAACCTACGCCTATCCTCTGCCCGGATCCCCACCTCTGATGCTCGTCTTCAAGACTTCTCCAAGGCTGCACCTATTCTGTGGAACTCCCTTCCCTCCTTAAATCAGACTTTCACCCAGCCTCCACTCCTTCAAAAAAATATTTGAAAACTCACTTCTTCATTAAAGGGTATCAATTAAACTGTCAGCAGGTTTCTCACCCCCCACCCCATGACTCCTTTCCTGCAACTGTCAAAAAATGACCTACCAAGCACTCAATAAAACCTTCTCTAACAAACTATTTAATTCCCCTACTTTAACCGTTTGTGTCACCATACCCCACTCCCTCTAGCATGTAAACTCATCGAGCAGGGCCTCTCAACCCCCTCTGTTACTGTACGTCCAGTGGTCTGATCTCAATTATGTGCCTGTTAGTCCACCCATTGTACAGCGCTACGGAATTTGTTGGCGCTATATAAAATAATAAAATAATAATTGCTAACATTATGCTTTAATACAGAACCAATAGCAAATGTTAGGTCAAAATAGCTGAACTAAACAAATTCTCCAAATCAGTAATTTTTCCAACTCTGCTAGTTTTGGCCTAAATTGTACAACTCCCTAGCCAATTCTCCACAATATAGAGTTTAGTGAATAACTCCAACTATGGTTTCTAAAATGGAGTCTAAATGGTTTGTCAGTTGGTTTTTATAAAGAAATGAAAAAAAAAAATCCAAGATGACAACTTACCCCATTAATGACTATTCAGGTGCACAGCACTGACAATTGATAAAAGGTCTTAACGGAATTAAATAGTTTTAGTGCCCATTTAATACGAGTCACTGACAGAATTTAGAACAGTGGAGATAAAACATGTGCCAGACAGTTCATGGTGAACTAGAACTTCATATTTCAGGGAAATGTAGTCTCAACAGGTGATCCCAGTTTTTGTGAACTCTAACTTCCCTCGATCAGTCCAGTCTGAGCAACGGTATGTGCAAAAGAGGGCTAAAGCTTAATTATAGCAGATTGACACAGTCCAAATAATCTTTCCCACACTGTCTCACTGAAACATAACATGAATTAGTATTATTCTATTGATATAGTGCCAACAAATTCCATAGTGCTTTACAATAGGTGGACAAACATGTAATTGTACAACAAACATGTAATTGGAACCAGACAAGTTTGACGCACAGAGTATATACCTGTTGAACATGTAACATAACCACTCGCTCCTTAGCGAGTTCTGAGGAAAGTAATTCAAAACAAAACAGCAGGTCTGAAGGTGCGACAGAATCCAAGGAGCAAGATGGCATAAATACACGGTGGAAGCGGTTCTTCGCTACCTATATAAAAAACAAAACAAAACAAAAAAAACACTGTCAATCAAAGCAGTGACAGGTAATAGATTGCACAAAACTACAAACATTGCTTTTCATGGAGTAAGAGGATATTTATAAAGTGCAACTGTGAAAACAGTGTATTTGTTTAACAATATTAACAGTTTCACTAGGGTTAGAATTGAAAAGCATGGATGTGCTGAGGACCACAGTATTACAGTGGAGATCTAAGCACTAGCCAACATGGCAAATCCTACATTGTGCATGCCTGGACTTTGGATCAGAAGGAATCAACTCTGGCTCAAAGTGGTGAACAAAGATTTCAAAACACCCTGGAACATCAATTTGGTGATTGAGCAAGAAGAGGTACCTGTGCTGAACATCACAGCAAGGGTGGAAAATATTGACTGGACTTTGCTGGCAGATATTCCCGCACCTACGAATTCATGGCTTTAGATAGGGTAAGAGAACTACAGTTGGATCCACAAGGATATAGTAAGCTATTCCTAAATATTCTGAAGGAGGTAGGCACTAGTGATATGCGCAACTTACAACACCCATGTCCTCCTTCCTCACACAAAAGAAAGTCAAAGCAATGGTGACCAAGAATAGCTTAGCGTACACAAGCCCCCTGGGCACCAGCAAGGAGAGAAGATGGTGAAATGATCTCAGACCTCAATTATTGCTGCAGTCTGTTACTACATGAATCTTAAATTTGAAGGCTACATGCTTTCCTTTAACCCAGACCTGCATATGGAAACAGTCATAGTGACAATACCTATGGCAAGTAACCTTGTTTTTAATTCAATACTCCAAACCCTGAATGCATTTCTGCTTACTGAATTGCTTTAGGCGTTAACAGTGTCCCAACATTCCCATTTTACAAAAGTGACAATTTCATGAGAAATCTGCACTAGTATAAAAAGGTGCTAAATTGCACGGTCACAGCGGTCAGCCAGTTGGGAGCATGCTCTTCCCAATTGCCTTGTGCTCCAGCACAAAGCAATATTTTTTTTCATGCCACACATCCTCTGCCCATGAGAAGCATTCTCTATTGGCTGGAAAATGATCAGTGCTGATGATTGGCTGGTGGGCAGAATAGAACTGTGAAGGGACCATCTAGCAACTGGATTAGGGGTAAGTAAAACTCCACCCCTATCAGCCAGCTATAGTTGTCCAACTGCATATCTGGGATGGGGTCCAACTACTCCTCTCCAACCTGCAAACTGCATAAATAGAAGGCTTGCCAGACTTCGATTTGACCCTAGTTACCAAGACATAGGACTGTCAGTCTACATTCTGATCCCACCAGATGAGCGTCAAACTGTAAAAACACAGTACGACTATTAACTTGCCATGCTGGCTGTAGTGATAATGTGCAACCTTTAAAGATTGTACTGATTTACTATATACAAGCTTTATTACGCTGAGAATACCTAATAAATAAAAATAGAGATCGTGTGGAATCCAACAATGCAGGCATGAGGAGGCTACCAGAGATGATGTAATCTGAATGTTTTTACCAGCTGAACCGTTAATCACAAAATTTATTTTTTTCAGTCAAAATGTCAAGAGAGTCTTGAATTTAGATTATTTTAAGGCTTTATTCTCTAAAGGCAATTGCCAACCTTGCATAAGTAGCATAACACCATACCAACTGTGAATATCTACAGTAATTCCCCTAAAAGTTCTGTTTGAACAGATGTTGCTCAACACAGGTAATGAAGAATACAGGGCTTATGTCTCACCTCTGCTAGTTTAAGATTTTCAGGTTTTACTCGCACACTTTGAGAAATAGAATCAAGGACTTCAGCCGCACTGGAGTGTTCTTTACTTATGCTCACTAAGAACTACAAAGAGATTGGTATATAAAGATCAGATTTATGCAACAGATATTAAATCCAGACCAGATAAACAAGAAAAACACTTCAGATCACCTTTATGGGTTTATTGTGAGGTTCTTTAGCAAAGAAGTACACAGTCAACACCTTCTGCTTCTGGGGTAACGGAACAGGAAGATACAGGAAAGGGTCAAAGGTAATTGAGACCTAAGAGAGAAAGGAAAATTGACTTGTGCAAAAAAATTACAGAACTTGTAAACACACATCACAGGGTGGACAAGTATATTTATTGTAATAAAACAATCCTCTTAATTTTGGATCAAATAAAAATACATTTGTACTGCTTGTTCTTAGGGTACATTAAACTGTCTGTATTACTACTCCTTTTGGCAACACATTTACAGTGTTTACTGATTTTGTATGTTGTATCCAACTAGTGGCTAAACCAAAAAACTAAATTACATTAAGCAAGTGCTTATTAAAAAAAAAAAAAAAAAAAATCCTGCTGAAATGAAAACAAAGTTTTAATTTGCTAAAAACAATCAGACTCCATTACAACGAGAACGGTCTAAGCAAGTCAGTGATGGAAAAGTTAGCCACAACTAAATACAGACAAGTTAATTGGTGCCTTGCCTCTGCATATAATAATTTGCACAAGAAAACAGATACATCTCCATTATAAAATATGTAAATTCAATGATGGATAATTATTTTCTTGGTTGGAAACATCTCTTAATCTGCTTATAGTAAAAGAGAACCATTTTCTAAAATACTTTAGTTGTCAATTTCCTAACTTAAGTGTAGATTTCAGTTTCATAAAAGGCATTTTGCAGCCCTTTCTCCCCAGTTGACTTAAAAAAAAAAACAAAAAAACAAGTGGGTGTTAAGGCCCTCCTGCATAACACTTAGCATTCTCCTTGTGTTCCCCTTTCAAACTCATAATTCAGTTTTTTTTTTTTACAATTGTAGTGCCAGCAGGGAGTGTTGCGGGTCCAGACCAAGGTACACGCTCACTCCCTTGAGGTCCAAGCACTCACTGAATGACCAAGTGCATCTGGTTCTCAGTTCCCGTGGCTATTTGTCATTGCTGTGGACAGCTTCATCTTCTAGGTAAGTACAGGGTAAGCAGTACAATATATATACATAGCGCCTTTGTTTTTGTGTTTAATTGCAGTGTTGGAACTTTGAGATACAAAAGTTGGTTTTGAGTTGCAGTTTGGGCAGTTATTCAAAAAGGTTCGCTGTTAGAGTTTTAGGAGGACAAAAGGTTGCCCTCTTTGGCCAAGTTGGGACAGAAATCATTCTCTGTTAAATGAAGAACCAACCACTGTTCGTAGCCATCACGGGCTTTAGACATAATTAGATTCAATAAATGAATATATTTGAATGTCCAACATCAGCATGCATCTATTGCTTCTACATGAGAAGCATTGGATTCAATGGTTGTTATAGAGAAGCACTGGATTATAGGACTGTTGCAATTGTCACACCATGTGCCCTCAAAGTTTCTCTGCAACGAAAATAACCAAGACAGAGGACTTTAAAGGAGGGCTCAGGTGTAGTGAGAAAACAGTCTTGGCAGGTAAGTTTTATTCTTTTTTTAAATTACAAAAACAAAACCAAAAAAAAAAAAACCCACCAAAACCTCAAATAAGGGAGAGGGGCAGAAACCAAAAAAGGTGAAAGATAACATTCAATTTAAAACTATTTATATATTTTTTTTTTTTTTAAGACAATGTTAAACAAAAATCTGCACACCAGTCAAGCCATAAGACTTGCTTTTCCCACAGGAATCACAAAATTTGCAGTGATGTTACCACCGCAAAGGATTCTGGGCGGGCATAAGCAAATTAGTTTAACAATTTAATAAAAAATTTTTCCCCACCATACTTTTTTGGTTTTGCATCACAAGAATTACGAAGCCTCACTAGCAAGCCAGTAACAAAACTCATGCTGATGATATGCATTTACAATGAAACAGCTGTCCATGAGTTGTTCATTGGCTTTGCATCTTTTTCAAGTGGTGTGTCAAAGCTGGTGTGTCAAAGGAAACCATGTTTAAAATCAAATGATGCAAAACTGATTCTTTGTTGAACTAATTTCCATATGCCCACCCAGAATCATTTGCGGTAGTAACATCACTGCAGATTTGTGATTTATGTGGGAAAAGCAAGTCTTATGGCTTGACTGGTGTGCAGATTTTTGTTTAACATTGTATTAACTATCCACAGACTTCAGGTGGAAGGGGTTTTCAATCACAATTTTCCCCCACTATACCTTTTTTGATAGTTATAGAGAGAGATGATACACATACATAAATATACATACATACATATATATATATATAAAAAAAATGTTCTTATATTTGTGTTTATTTAAAAATAAATGTCTGCTTGGTACAGCCCCTTACCTTCGCACACACTGGACAAACCAGCTTGGACTTGTATTGACCCTGGAACAAATCCACCACAAAGGAGTCGTTCCTCATCTTATGTCGAAGCCATGCTTCATCTGCCACTTCCTATTAGAAAAGAAAAAAAATGCATTAATGCAATAATCAGCTAAAGGTTTGCAAGTTAGTGTAGATAGTAAACTTGAATGGGAAGTCTTGTACCTCATCTGGTCTGCCATCTGAATCCACAGTTTCTGTGTACGGTTTGTTCTGAATTCTGTTCAGATCTTCGTGGAGTCCGTCCAACAGAAAAGCCATGAATTCCTGTGCATCGTGCTGAGCATAACCGGTGAACTGACTGGCTTTGCTAGCCACAATAGCCTGTACAGAAAATTACAAAGCATATTGAAAACTGCCAAAATGTGTTTTCCAATAGTTTGACTTAAAGCAGGATTTTATATTCGTTCATTGTAACAATATATGAGAGAGCAATTTAAATTTGTTCTAAACTAAATCATACCATGATGCACTATTAACTAAAATGACACAAAAGCAAATATGAAATATAAATGAGTAGCCAAGATAACAATAAATCGAAAATCGATAATGGACATGTTTGTTTGGCTTTTTTTTTAACTGAAAGGTATTCTCTCATACACAAGATGACAGAACCTAGTTTTCAATAGCAAACAACTTCGATTGTTTTAGTCAAAAGCATCACAAGAGCTTCCTCCTTGCATCAGAGGTTGCACCAGTAAAGCCCAGTGTCTGCGCCTCACTGATGTTCCCCATAATGCTCTGTGCTGGAGCCAAAAAATAAGAACATCTACAACAGAGCATAACCTATAAAATAACTAATCTAGCGAAAGTTTGTAAACAAAATTTTCCAGTTGGATTTTACAACTGAACTTCGATTGTTTGCAACATGTGGGAACCACACATTCATTATTTCTGAGTAGGCAGAACCATAAAAAAAAAAATAAAAAAAAATTAATAACTTGGTTAACAAAAATGGAGATTAAGCACAACTTCTGATGCACAGAGCTCGCTCTGAGAATAGTCCACCAAGCAAATGGTTCAGGCCCTGACTATAGGATGACAGCCATCAGAGATGCCACCCTGCACCGGTGTTGTGCACTAGAATATAGAATACCACATATGGGGAGGGGAAGGAGGGAGACAGACATCGAAAATGTTAACAGTAACAAAACCAGTTTGTACATTTGCATGGTCATGATATACCAATAAGGTAGAGTACTCAGAAAAATACCAACCTCATGCATAAAGCAAGAAATCACTAATACAGCAGCCTCACCCTCTTCAGTTTCTGCTATTGTACCAAGCAGTGACACCCAAACTTGTAACCCAGTAATAAGTCTTTGCACTTCAACAGAATTTACCATGATGCTTAGCTAGCAACTTCAATACCTAGGTTAGCCATTACCATGCTAGGTAAAGGACTATGAGAATCAATTACTCAGTGCTGTGTAGCAAGTAAGCATATATGGTGTATACCTTGAGCTTTGATGGCTGGAAGGCATGGTGAGTTCCTTTCCAAAGGGCCCGTAATAAGACGGCAAAACTAACAGCGAGGCGCCCACTTGTTCCAAGAGGATTGTTGTAGTTTATTTCCATTTCAAAAGAACGGTCTTATAAAGAAAGAAAGGGAGAGGAAAAAAAAATACATGAGTAATGCAGGAAGGGAAGATGTTTTTGGGTGCCAAGAAAAAAAACACTTTTGGCAGAATGCTTGAAAACATCAAGGCAAAAACTGCATAGTTTAGAGCTATATCAAGCTGTAGTAGTAATCGTACATGAGCGTTCCACAACTAATTTGTGGATTCAAGAGGCACAGGTCTACCATTTGAGTGAAGAAGGAATCTGGGTTGAATTTTGGATTTCTTTAGGATTAATATCAGATGTGTGAATGGTTGTAGCTGACCAATTTGAGATTTTGTTTAAACTTTTATTACTATACAACTATTAATATTGGCAATTATATAGCACCACTTATTCCGCAATGCTTTACAATAATTACATAATTATGTCCGCATACAAAAGCATAAACCCATTTAAAAATCAAAAGACAAACTTTTGAAAAACCAACATATAACAATGGAACACTATTACCCAGAATAGCAGACGAGAAATTAATCCTTTGTCTTTGATAAACAAAGGCCATGTCTGCCAACTTAAGCATTTATTTAAAATAGAAAAAAGTATATGTCAATATATTAAAAAAATATCAAAATACTACTAACTTAAATATTTTCATAATATTAAAAATAGTTTTAAAACTATCCAAACTGAAACTTTTGTAAAACTTGTCTAACAATTAAAATCGGGAACTTAGAGAAAATCTTAATTTATTTCAAAGCAGTCAGATGGAGCCATTAAGCATCAATACTTTAGTATAAAAAATTAAATGCACAAACATACATACAGGGATGTCTACAAAATTGATGCAAAAAGAGAACAAAATAGAGGGGATTTTATCTATACTAGAAAGGTAAAAAGGAATGTTTTCAAAATATCTGAAGTCTTGTGTCTATGAAACCATATTAAGTCATACTCATGCAATAGTTGGTGAATGGGTCTTAGATGTTATATAGTCCATTACCTTGGAAGTAGTCCCTGAGTTCCCGTGTGTTAGACAGAGACTGTATGACGCTGTTCATAAAGCAGGTGTTACCCAGATTAACCAGACCAGTAAAACCAGGCAGACATACGCTCTTCTCCTCTTCTTCCTGCGCACTGTCGCTGCATACTGCGCTGTGCGTCATTGGTGGCACCATACAAGTTGGCTTGGGCTAAGAAATTAAAAATACATTTACAAATATTGCATTTGGAAAATAGAGCTCAAAAATATGAAAACAAAATGTTGGATTATTCTAAAAACTACAAACGTGGCAGGAGAAATTGAAAAGGTTGTGACTGGAGAGCTTGATCAAACTCAACTGCTCTAGAAACACATTTCCAAGAGTAGGTATAAAGACCTGAAAACAAGAGGACCAAATGGGCTCTGGAGAACTTTCCACGGCAACTAGACAATATTAAATTTGACTAGCGTCAGACCACTAGAAGGTTTTTAATAGGCTCAATGGTCCAAGCAGAATATTGTGTTAGAGCAAAAAAAAAAAAATTTCAAAAAGCAATGTCCATCAAGGGTGTTCCTGATAAACAAAATCAAATGTCAAAGATTTCCACTGACACATACACAGGCGTGTATTATTTATTCAATCTTCCTCCTCAGTATTGAGAGGTGAGCAGCGTTAAAAGGAGTTCTGCAGCATGATTTGTGATATCTATGATACAGGAAGGTTGTCTCTGTGTGGTACAGAGGTGGAATTTTCTATTTTTTTTGCACTACTTTGTTGCAATCGTTATGGTCAGTGCCTGAATATCGCTTGTTAGTGGGAAGAGTGCAGACAGCCCTCTTCCCCCAATAGACTCCAGTGACGTAAGTGGTGATCTGCCATCTCTTTCCCTTCAAAATAATGGAATAATTAAACTAACAAGTGTCTCTATAGGTAAGTGTATGAATAGATAAGTATGCAGCAATCTTTACGCAAAAATGTATGCATTGGTATGTATGTAAACTCATTTTCAACCTTTTGTCCCCCCCTCTGATAATATTGTAGAGCGCTACGGAATATGTTGGCGCTATATAAATACCAATAAATAATAATATGTATGTTTAAGTTTGTGAATCTATACACCTGTGCACTAGCGCGTCCGTACATAAGCATTTGTGTATGATATTGCGTCTGTACGTAGACTTGTTTAAATGTATGTGCAGCTAATCTGATATGTATTTGACCACACTCCTGCGACATCAGACATTCTCAATTGATTGTGTGTAAGAAAGAGCGGTTTAAAGGTATACTAGGCACCATAACAACTACAGATTTTAGATGGGGTTTAAGAGCAGGGATTGTATGGATGCAGTCCCTCCGGAGTTTGTCAGTTTTCAAGCAGAATCAATTTTAAGTCTTTAGGTGCTGCCTAATGTAGGTAGAGGGTGTAATTTTGGCAGCACTGAAAAAAGATTTTCAGTAAGGCAGGTTGTCTGAATCCCAGTAACCTGTACAAATATATTGACACGCCCAACTGCAACTATAGTCTACAAGATGCTCTAGTAGTTATGGTGCTTGGGAGGGGGTGGGGGAGAGGGCGAGAGAGAGAGAGAGAGAGAGAGAAATATTCTGTCTCTCAAAAGACAATTTAATCTCTTCTAAACAAAAGGGTGACATTTTTGCGCCACATCTCACAAACTTGACGGACACCAAACCCTGCAAGATCTCTCTTCATACAAACAAAACATACACCAGTTGTTTCTAAAAGGGGTTTTTCTATTCGGTTACTCAGAGAGAAAAAAAACCCAAAAGTTTATATGAACTCCAAAATCCTTTTAATGTTTGCTTACGGATGCCAGGAGCTGCTCTGGTTTTACGGACACATGTTCAGTTGCTGATGAGTTCCTTGATGAAACATTATCCAGAGCGGTGTCCTCCACCCGTGGTTTCTCTTTCTCCACTGTTCTGGGTTCCTCTTTGCTGGACAGAGTATGCGGATTGCTACCAGGTTGTGTTTTAGTAAGAGGAGAAGGGCCAGCAGGCATGGCAACCTTTGCACCACCCACTGCACCTTAAAAAGGGGGAAAGGAAGTTTTCTGTTTAGCAACGAATTCAATTTCAATCAAAACCAGAATAGATATTGTATGCTGACTGTACAAAAACTACAGCAGGGTAGGTTTGCAATGGGTGACATCTCCAGTGCTATGATAAAAGCATAAACTAATACGGATATCTCCACAAATGTGTTAATTCATTAAACCAAAAACGGTAGCGAAATGATAACCACATTGCAAAATGTTGGCAAAGAATAGTCAAGCTATATAGCCAAGTTGGAGAGTTTTGTGCAAAAATGCAAAGTGTGCATGTTTTTGCCTACAATTTGCAAATCAGTTTTCAATTCACAATTAAGCATTTAGCAAATAAATCCACAATGCATCACTAAGACTAGTACACCTTAAAGGACCACTCAACACCTCTTGCTGAAGTGCATTATGGGCACCTTTTTATTAACCCCAGTTTATAAAAAGGTTGATTGCTATGAAAAATCTGCACTTTTATAAATTAACTGGGGAACTCCCCCTGGCTGTCAGACAGCCAGGGAGGATTCCTTCCCACTTCCGTTAGCACCCCAGAGCGAACGGATGTGGCAGGCACGCTCTACTTGAGTGTGCCTGCATCCCCCTCCCTCGCTCACAGACCTCAAACCAGCTTCAGCAGTGCACATGCGGCAACCAAGCGTGCATGGACACCACGGTGCAAGAGCTGGCTCACGTGCACGAGCCGGTTTGCACGTGAACCAAGTCAGAGGCAAGTAGTGCTCCAACAAACCTGCAATTGTGTGCCAAGCCTTTTTGCTTATTATGCTCTATACAGGATGTGCAGCTGCTCAGATCTGCTTGGCACCAATTTACGTCCAGACCATAGCATGCCATCTCCCTTCTTTACTTTGAACCACTTAAAGGACCACTATAGGCACCCAGAACACTTAAGCTTAATGAAGTGGTCTGAGTGCCAGGTCCATCTGGGATTAATCCTGCCTGCTGTAAACATAGTTTCAGAGAAACTCCTATGTTTACAAATGGGTTAATCCAGCGTCTAGTGGCTGTCTCATTGACAGCCGCTAGAGGCGCTTCCACGTTTTTCACTGCGATTTTCACAGTGAGAAGACGCCAGCGTCCATAGGAAAGCATTGAGAATGCTTTCCTATGAGACTGGCTGAATGCGCGCGCAGCTCTTGCCCCGCATGCAGCCAATGACGGCAGAAGGAGGAGATTGCCCAGCGCTGGAAAAAGGTAAGAATTTAACCCCTTCCTCACCCTAGAGCCCAGCGGGGAGGGGGACCCAGAGAGTGAGGGAGACCCAAGGACCCTATAGAGCCAGGAAAACGAGTATGTTTTCCTGGCACTATAGTGGTCCTTTAATTTTCCTGGACACTATTTCATGGACAGCATAAGAGTGCTATCCTGAAGGATGTAGAATTAACACACCACAGAAAGGAAATATAAATCAGTCGCCAAAAACCATGTAGGATAAGACAACTCTACATCATGTTAATGTGGGTCCAATGTTTTTCATTAACATTACTAACTACGTGCAGTCAAAAAAAAAGTATTACAATCCACATGCCAATATATAAGGAGTTTATTCCAAATTTAAAAATCCCTCATTTTAGCGTAACCTTTTCTTTAAATTAATTTAATATTGCTCCTCACATGGTGACTAAATGTTATTTGCATTTGAAAGACATAATTTAATGCCATGCAAGATGTCTAGCTCCTTACTTAGAATGAATGCGCCTCGGAGAAGCAGCTGTCGATGTCTGAAAATTTCTGTCAAAACATAGCCTGGATGGATCAGTTATCAAGAAACCCATGAGTGTATGAACACACATTTGTTTTAAACAAGTGTGGAAAAGGATTTGGGTTTTTAGCAATCAAGTTATACTGAAAAGCGAAACTTTAAAATGTACCGGTCATGCCAGTTATGTGTTTGAAGTTTTAACTTCATCTTTTGCAATGGGAGTCATGCAAAATTGTGCATATTTGTCTGGAAGCATAGACTTCACCTTTAATCGTTTAAAAGGCAGCTGCACTCCTTCATGCTGGCTTCACTGCTAGCACAGCAGAATGTGGTCCATCAAAGCTACCTGTGTTTTCCCACGACACCGTGAGCTTAGTCATCAGTCAGCCTACTTTCTCTGCTGGCTGCTGCTTTCACACAGTTTGCTAGGATGCCCTGCTCCTTCCAAATAGGAATCCAATAGAGTAAAGGTAAGAACGAGGAGAACTTCCTAGGTAAGGGTTCTCCTGTTAATAAGTTTCTGGAATACTATCTATACAAACAGAACAGAGGTCTATGCCATGGGGTTTCGCCTGTTAAAGTTTGATTTACATTTCCCTTACAGTGTACTAAGATACTCACTGGTATGAGCTTAATATTCAGCAGATGTATTGGAAACTAAATATACTAAACTAGATTAGCCAAAAGAATTGGTGGGGGGAGGGGTAAATAAAATAAAACAAACCTGTTGGCATCCAAAGATTTTGGAGATGAATACAAAGCTCAAATTACATTGCTACGTCCTGTCTAAAAGCTATTAAAAAGTGAACACCTGTTTCTTTGTGCAAAAGGTAGAATTCAGGGTGCAGACCTTGTGTGGCTAGTGCCTCCAAGCCACCCCACCTCTGGGCCTGCTTTTTCTGCAGGGAGATGTCGATGCGAGAACTTGTGAAATTGTATTTACACAGATCTGGCTCTATGAGGTTTCTGAAAAACAAGAGAGCAATCATGTATTTTAAATAGCAATGTGCACTTATAATATTTAAAATAATACAAATAATTTGCTAGCCTTTAAAATCAACATATATATCCCATCTCAACTGGGAGCAAGTACAGATAAATATCCAAGTGGGAAAAGGGTATCTTTCTGAGAAATAATCCACCTAGATATAGGTCATATGACTGGCTAAGGCTGAAGTGACAAAAGCTTGGTGAATTCGACCTGAAATTTAAACTCCCTGACGAATTCTCAACAACTCACAGTGTTATGAATAATCCTTCATTTGTTGCATTTCCTGCATTCTGGCTAATTGATCCTACTCTGTACTTCTGTATGAATGTTTGCTTAAAAGATTCAAAAAACAAAAACAAAACAAAATAACTAAATGCAACTTATTTTTACCTGAGTTTCACTTGCCACCTGAACACCGTATCGGGACCACAGCCAGCATGGAGACGAAGGAAACTTGGATCGCTACAAAACAGGAAAGAGAGAAGGCAGTGTGTAAAACACAGTCTATAGAAGTGTTCAACATGTGTTACAATGACAAACTGTTAGAAATATAATACATTTTATTAGCAAAGCACTAAAAATAGCCACTATAATGATACAGAGCAGGGGTAAATAACATTTTAGTACTGCACTGAAGAAAAACTTTGAAGTAATTCTGCTTGTGTTATGTATGATGTGGCAAATGCTTTGAGATGTTGTGTATGTGTGGGCTATATGTATTGTGGCATGTCTGTCTTGTTATGTGAGTATATACAGGCAGTGTGTAGTGGTGTTGTGGTACTGTGTGTTTGGAGGAGTTTGCTTATGGTATTGTGTGCACGTGGCAAAAGCAATTTTTGATATGGTGTGCGAGGGCTGCCTGTTGTATTATATACGTGTGTACCAGGTTTGTGGGATGCGTGTTGGGCTTTCTATGGTATTGTGTGTGTGAGTGTGGACTGTTTGTTATGTTTGTATGTTGATTGTCTGGTTTGTGAAGTATGTGTGCAGCCTATGATTTGTGTGTGTGGGTGAGATATGCAAGTTGCATGTACCATGTGTGTAGTGGGACTGTCTGGTGTTGCACATGCATGTGGGATGGTTGTGGTTATGTGTGTGTGTGTTAGCTGTTCTATGCATGTAAAGTACATGTATTGTCTCGGTTATAGTACAGCCACACCAATCATCATCAGCAATATCCTTAAAAGGAACACAAATGGGGTCAGGAACACAAACATGTATTGCTCACCCAATAGTGTTAAATACACAATCTAGCCTCCTTAATATAGTAAAATCTTACCTTTATTCCAGTCTGCTGGTGCTGGCTCTGCCCCTAATCTGACTCATTGGCTGACATTATCAGAATTGATAATCTCAGCCAATCGCAATGGATTGGCTCAGACTGCCAAAGTGGAGCAAGACGCCGCCCCGACCAATCAGCATCTCCTCATAGAGTTGCATTGAATCAATGCATCTCTATGAGGAAAGTTCAGTGTTTTCGTGCAGAGGGTGAAGACACTGAATGGCAGTGACATGGTGCAGCACTGACCCAGGAAGCACTTCTAGCAGCATGTGAGGAATGACCACTAGAGGTGACCCTATAGCTGTAATGTAAACACTGCCTTTTCTCTGAAAAGACAGTTTTTACTGCAAAAAGCCTGCAGTGTCCAACTATACTAACCAGAACAACTACAATAAGCTGTAGTTGTTCTGGGGACTACAGTGTCCCTTCAACTTAAAAGAGAAGAAAGCAAATTATTAAAAAATTTTTTCCTGGTTACATAATTATATCATTCAATACTTTTTTTTTTTAGTTGGCAAAAATCTGCCTTTAACCCACTCCTTGTAGTTTTTCTTAAGTCCTTTTTTTGGCATGATGCTTACCTTGTCTGAAAGACCAGTGTGAAATCCTGTTCCCGAAATAGTACTTTGGAGGTTTGCTTGCATATTTCCTTGACATACACATGGACCACCACCACATCATTCCCTTTCTCGTAGAAATCATTCTTCACAAATGTCAAGTTTACTATAGGCTCTAAATCTGAACAAGAACAAAATAAATAAATAAAATGTTGATAAAAATTGCATATGGGCAGTATAAAACCACACAGTGTAAGTTAATAGATAGTACACATATTTTCAATGGTTTAATGCTAAAACCAAAAGTCCCACAGCAGCATATGACCTTTGTGCTGCTTGTTCTAATGAGGAAGCACTAGCCTCGGCAAAAATGGGTGACAGTGATTGGCTGAGTTGCAAAAATGTAATGATGGTCCAGGCACTCAAGTTCAATCCAGTGAGTAGATTTATTGGAGCAGAATCAAAACAACGGTTCAGCCCACAACAGGGCCTTTTTTGCAAATCACATTGCGAGGATTAGCCAACCTCAGGCCCGACTGTACCCTGATCAAGGAAAGTGCGGTATCCATATTGGTAACTCTAGTGATTGGCTGAGTGTCAACTGCCTGCATTTAGCCTACAATAACCTCCAGTGGTTATATAAGTGTAAGTGGCAGGTGAGCATACATTTAAACGGCCATTGGAGTGATGTTAAAACCCTCCAGTTAATTAAATGTGCATAGGGATTTGGGACAGTGCACAAGTAACATTTTTCATTGTTTTTTTTTTTTTTCTTCTATTGTATGTATTGGGGCTGAAGTTACTGTAGTCATTGCTGCCACCAAGGAGTAGTGGGTGTTTAAAAGCAGGGCTTAATTATGTATGTTTGTGAAGTATACCACGGTATGTCTGTTTAGCAAATAAACCCAATTTTTATTAAACAATCACCACTGTCTCAGTGTTTGTCCATGTTTGACATGACTGATAACATTTTTAATTCAAAGGACAGGGGGTAGCATAGTGGACTATGAACTAATTGTCCTCAGATGCTGGGTAGTAGATGGTGTAAGAAGAGAAGTCTCTAGCCTTGTGCTAGCAAGCCATTGGCTAAAAATAATCTTTATTTCCTCGTTTTCTGTACATTTATTTCTGAAAGTGGATCTATCCCCTTCTGGGGTATCTTCATATTTTGCAAAGACCCCAGATAGTGACTGTTCTGCTTGCTGTGTAGTGGCATGGAGGGTGCAGGCGTAAGGTGTTTTTACTTACCAGAACCTGTCCCTCACGGATCTGCCATCTTCTACCGTAAGATCCTCTTCTTCTGACAGGAGTTGACGTCAGTGCTGTACTCTTGTGCATGCACCATAGTACAACATTGATGTCTGAAGAAGCATTAGCCTGAGCAGCAGTGGGTGGCTGAGAAAGTTAGCTGATATGTATCAGCCTATCACAGTGTCCATTTAGGTTTGAATCGGGGTTGAGCTATGGGATGCCATGAGCTCTCATTCAGTGTTAAACTGTTCCTAAATGGTTTCAAGGGACACTGCAAAAACTAAATTATTATTATTATTAAACTATAATTATTGTATCACATAAATGGTTTTAATTGTCTGGAGAGCAGAAGGACCGCCTTCTGTTGGTGTCTTCTGCTGTCCTTTATCAATTCCTCTGCATTTTAGGTCTATGCCAAAGAATGGATTGACAGGTAGGAAAAAAACAAAAACCTTTATATTTACATTTGCAGGTGAAACTGCTAGCACAAACCTTTAAAGAGCTAAAGTAGTTTTTGCCCTTTAAGGATGCAAAACAATAGATGCAATGAGCTTCAGTTCTATAGCTGGCAGTTCATCTGAATATAAAATTGCATCATCTTTAATCTGAAAGGTTTCTTAAAAATAAATTCAGGTAAAAATAAATAAAATAAATCAGGAAACATGGTACTAAATGTTTCCAGTTAATATTCAGCACCATAGATACAAAGAGGAGTGATTAAATAACCATTAATACCACTAGGCAATAAGCACTAAATCCACTTTAGATTCAAGTGTTTAACTACTACTTTAGGACTTCCAACTTGTCTAATGAAGGCCACGATGTCTATATTAGAACAGAGCCACCAGATTTGCACATTGAAAATATCTGCAGCTAAAACTATCAAATCCTTATAAAACCTTATATTCCTCCACTGCCGAGATCAATTACCTTTCTTTAGCAATGACAAAGGCTGCACTGCTATTTAAATATAGGAACTAGTTATTACATGGAAGGTGCCAATTCCTGATACGCCACAACAGAATATCAAAACCCTAAAGTGGTATTACCTTCAAAGCAGGGTTTCACACTGCTGGCTGTGTCAAAAGGCATATCTCATTTTTACCTTCGTCCATGCAAATAAATGAGATTCTACTACATATTTCTCCAACTACTACTACAAAATAAATAAATCAAATCTTAAAATATCAGTCTTTGGATCCCAAGCATGACACCATTTACACACGGCAAAGAGAATTTAAACACTACATTTAAAAACAAAAATAAAGCAAAGCTATAGAAAAAAAAAATGGCAAAGTCTTCTGCAGGCCTCCAAGAAAATAACGCAGCTGGTAATATAATCTAAGAGCAGCGTTGACAGGGGGTGGGGATGCATAACCTTTTCACCCATTCCTTATCGGTGAGGTGTTTCATGATCAAGGGCAGATGTCTATTAAAGGGCACCTGTCACGTCAAAGAAGACGTGTTGTCAGTTTATAGGAAATAAAATGTAACCAATGCACACAGCTATCTATTTAAATAGCTGGAACGAGCATATATTAAAATGTATTTCATTTTATAAGGCAATTACATAAGGCAATTACATAACTTTAAAGAGTACAAAACATTAAGTATGGCAGTACGAGGCCATGCTACCACAACTTTACTAGGCAGCATCTCCCCATGGCAGTTGAGTAAATGCATGCGAAGATTGGTGAGATGCATCATTTAGGAAAATGCCGTCCCTCTCACCAGATTGAAGATATGGAGAAATCCTTACCTTCAGGTGAATCGTCAAGGTCCTCTTTAGCACAACTCACTTTCTCCTCGCTGTTACCAGATGCGGAGGTGGTATCTAATGATGGCATTGGTGCATGTGAGTCGGACAAATCTTCATTAGCCTTGGATGGCATTTCCATTTTAGGTTCATCCAGTTGACATTCAGATTCTTGTTCTGATGCGGTTTGGAAAACCTCGTTACTTGGGTTTACAAGGACAGGATGTAGGTTGACTGTTGCAGATTGACTATCTCCAGTAGAGGAACAAATCGGCTGAATGACCGATGTAGATGACTCTGGCATTGTCTGGTAATCTGGAAGGTACATTTTCATGCTTGAAACACTGGGCTTTAAGGAAAGAAAATATATGTGTTTGGTTATGAATTACATTACCGTTTAGAAATAATGCATTACTAGAAGGGAATGTTAAACTGAGCTTCTATAAAGATTACAATAGCAGCAATAGACAACAAATTTTACATCCAAAAACCAAGACACACTTGCACATTTCCGTCCAAGTACATTTAAATCCCTGCCATTAAAGTGAAGGACTTCCAATTACACAATGACTTAAGTATCAAGACCTTACATTAATAGCACATTACCCTGAAGACTACTAAAAAAAAATAAAGATGAATAAAACGAAGTTGCAGAGGAATCCGGCTCCCATTCAGATGTAGTAACAAGAGCCAAGCATAAGCAGATGCCTAATTTTAGACAGAGATAAGTCCGTCACTGCTTACTATCCCTGAGCCTGTTACCCTCCTGCCCCACACTTTGTCAAAGAGCTTTTAATTTTTTTCGACAGGGCTTGTATACATTTATCTTATAAGTAAGCGTCTGTTAAAAGATGCAGTCAAGCTCCTGTGAAAAGTAGAAGAGAAAACACTTTTTGACCTAACTCATACATTTACATAATTTTTAGAACATTTCTTGTATACTGCTGCACAGGGCATGCAAATTAGTCCATCGGTGCTGCACACACAAAATATTAACATGCCTACAGGAGAGAGCTTATACAGCATTTCTGTGTAGACGCTAAGTGCATATGAGTGCTCGCGAGACCAGATGGGGAGGCAAAGCCTCCCACAACAAAACAGAACTGCAGTGGAGGCAAGTGCATGTTTTACGTGCCTCCACAACTTGGTTCCCTCTGGTAAAGACGGTTATATAATTTACTGGTAAAAGCAAACAGTGAGGGGGTGCAAAACACACAGTGATTAATACTTATAGTGAGAACTCCTGATCATTCTGTAAAAAAAATAAAAAAAAAATAAAAAAAAGGATTAAAAAAATAGACATAGCATAATACTGTAGAAAATAACAATTGATCAATAACAGAGGTAATGGGCCCCTCACAATCTTTACAGGCCTAGAAAGCAGGCTCTGGCTGTATCAGCAGATTAATAATAAACTTTTTCAAGCTGTCAGCACGACAACGCGATCTCCTCCTTTCCCATGGAGGGTTTGAATCAAAAGGATATAGGAGGTAGGTAGGAAGTTTTACTTAAAAAAATAAAATAAAAAAATAAATAAAAAATAAATAAATAAAAATACCAAAAAAAAAAAAACAGCAGCAGCAAAGGCTGTGAATAAAACAAACAAAAGTCCAGTAACACTAACACGTTTCAACCTTGCGGTCTTTGTCAAAGTGTGTAATGTTCTCCACCCGGTACTGGCTTTTAATCTGTATATCCGGAAATTAATTTTCGCGCCGTCTGGAGCTCAGGATTCACTTCTGCATTTGTATGTCATTGCGGCAATAGCATCAAAGCGCCATACATGATGACGGGATCAACCATTCTATCTTACCCGGAAGTGGACCAGAAAACGCCATAATAGTAGCGGGCATGATTCATTTATATGATTTATAGTTCATTACACATATAAGCTGGACAAAAAAAAAAAAAGGACTTAAGAATAGAAAACATTTAGAAAATATAACAACTTAGTATGAAATACATTAACAGTTGTGACAGAAAGCAAGGAATTGTGCTGGAGGGAATCTATATATCTCCCCAGATTTTGCAAGGTTCCTATTTTGTGTAATTAGCCCCAGGGAAATGTGTTACGTTAAAATGAATATTGCACTTTAAATATGTGTATATTTGGGCCCTGGGGTGGAGCACTTGGAGAGTAGGGTGGGCCAGTGCTCCACTCTATATTTTGGAAGTTGCTTGGAACCTACAGGTGAGAAGTCCAGTTCCAGAGTTTCAATCCTAATTTACCTCACCTGAAAAGAATTGTTAATTACAGGTGCTATTAAGTACTCCCCTGCTAAAGGAGGAGAGAGATTGTGTTTGATTTCTGTGAGTGGAAACAGAGCTGAAAAACCCTGAAACAGTAAGGTTGTTGTTTATGTTGGGAAATGGATAAGCCACCCAACCCAGTTAGCTAATTATTTTGTTTAGTTAGTGCTCAGAAGAGCAAGGATTTTGTGACAACCTTTTATACCTTACTGTGCATTTATTTTGGAACCACAAACATCCAGCATGTGAAGTGTCTCTAAAGCCTGAAAAGACTGTGTGTAACACCCCAATCCCAGGACAAGGTACCAAGGGAAAGGAGTACTTTTGTCACACAGTACATATAAATACATAATAGGAGAGCAGATCCAAAAAGAAATCTAGCTAGATCTGATAAAAATTGTTTAATTATACTGGAATAAAAAGCATATATTTAATAGGGATATAAAGAAAAGGATATATATAAAAAATAAATTAAAATGAATACATAAAATATATATTAAAAATATTAAATGGAATATTCAAATAAGTGCTGAAATTTCAAGTTGAGCCCACTGGGAAAGTATCCAAATTAACCCCTTAATGACGAGTGATGGACAAGGTCCGTCACTCAGGGGAAACCCTTAACGACGAGTGACGGACCTCATCCGTCACGTGGTAAAATTAACAGCAGATCGCTGTGATCGCGGGGTTAATGGTGCTCCGGTCTGCCTCTGTATTAGAGGCAGACAGGGAGCACCCGATCTAGCTACCACAGCACCGGTGCTCGCTCTGACAGGCTGTCAGAGCGAGCACATGTGCTCAGTATACTCACCTTCCGCCTCCCTGCACTTCCTGGTACTGTGTGAAGTGCAGGGAGACGGATCATCACTGATCTTGTCCCTGTTAGAAAAAAATAAATAAAGTTAATTTAAAATCCCACCCCCCTCTACCCATTTTAATAAAAAATTAACCCCTTCCCTGCCAATTGATCACTGTCTACAGTGATCAATTGGCCGGGATTACATTTTACTATGATCTGATTTTTTTTTTTTAACCCCTGAGGGTTAATTCTTTATTTTATTAATTTAAGTATTTTAAAATTCTAAATTTAGCTAGCTGGGGTGGGTGGAAGTTAGTGGGGAATTGGGGGGATTTGGTGTTAGGCTAACTAGGGGTTAACGTTAAAAAAAGTTTTAAAATAAGCTTTAAAAAGTTCAAAATTAAGTTTAAAAAAAGTTAACGTTTAAGTAAAAAATAAAACACCCCCCTTTACCCAGTCCAAATAAAAATTAACCCCTTCCCTGCCCGTCGATCACTGCCTACAATGATCAAAATACAGATCACAGAATTATACTGTGATCTAATTTTTTTTAACCCCTGACGATTAACTTTTATTTTTATTTTTTTTAACCCTCAGGTGTTCAATTTATTTAATTAACTAATTTAAATATTTTATAATCATATTTTGCTAGCTGGGGTGGGTGGGAGTTATGGGAAAATGGGGAATTTACTTTTAGTGCTGCTTACTGCTAGTTAGGGGGTTAACGGTAAAAAAAACAAAAACAAAAAACAATTTTAAGCAAGTTTAGGAAAGTTTAAAAAAAATTAATAAGCAAACAAAAGTTTAAAAACTAGTTTTAAAAAGTAAAAAAAGTTTAAAAAAAAAATACTTTTAAAAACGCTCATTACCACTACACCTGGAACAAACTAGATAAAAAATTATCCCACGCCAAGGTTCAAAATATGCCTTTTGAATTACTCCAGAGTGTATTCTTTAATAAATAGTATGTGTTTGTGGGGAAGAACCAACCATCTAAACTACTCCAGATTGGAACATGGACACAGCGTAAAACTTCAAAGTTAGAAAAAAACTGAATGGCTGAGTCTCAAATGTGACCCTTCAACATCCACATATACCTGGCAAAGATACATACATAGCAACATATGAAGTATTATACAGTGGTAGCACACATAAGGTTTGCAAAATATACTGTGCAAACTCACTGTGTGTGTCAAAAAGGCAGAAAAAAATGCTTATTACCACACCTGGTACAAGCTAGCGGAAAAATGATCGCACGCTAAGGTTCAAGATATACCTTTTGAAATACCCTGGGGTGTCTACTTTAAGAAATGGTAGGCCTTTGTGGGGTAGTTTGAATTTAAACCCTGCTAAGATGCTTGGAAATTGCACATAGGCCCAGCGTCAAAATTCACAGTTAGGTAAAAACTGATATGGCTTGGTCTCCTATATGGCACTGTAGCCATAGGGTTTTTTTTGAACAGTCAAACTACTATAATACCCCAAATGGAAGCATAGGCTCATTAAATCCATCTCTCAAAATTCTACTGTGAATACTGAAAAGGACAGGTATCCTATATGGCACTGTAACTTCACGAAATAGTGCCAAAGACATACAATGGGGGTGTCATTTTACTCAAAAGATGTTACCGATTACAAAATAAAACTTTGTACAGGAATAGCACACACCAACTTTACAAAATACACATGAGAATTTCTTTGTTATAAGTTTGTGTGCCAAAACCCCCCCAAAAAAAACACAACACAATTTTACTCCAATATTTAGCAAAGGTTGGCGGTGAAATGGCTACATAGAAAGTGTTAAAACAACCTTAGGTAAATTGCCCGTGATGTCTACGTTATATAAATATATACTTTTGTGTGGCAATTTTGTTTTCTTTTATGGCTATTAAGCTTACAAGATAAAACATACCAAATCCTAAAATCGCTCCACATTAAAAGTTTATTTTACTCCTTGTGCTTTGTGACCTGTAACTACCAAAAAACCAAAAAAAAAACAAACAAAAAAAAACCTTAAAATCCCAGACATATTATATATTCTGTATATCAGAAAAACTAAATGAATTTATTTTTAATTACTTTCCTTAACCTGCACTAATTGTGCACACATTATTATTGCAAAAACTGTAAAACAAAAACAGAATTTTTTTTATTTTTTGGGCATTTTTCTGCATTTTTCTGTATAATTTAATTATATATATATATATATATATATACACACATATACATACATATATATATATATATATATATATATATAGTAAGAGGCAAATTGCAGTTGAACGTAAACAGCAAAAAATGCTGTCGTCATTAAGTGAAAGACAAGCTTCTGAAGCGCTGTCCTTAAGGGGTTAAATATTCACCTCATCTCACAGCGTCCCAACGTGAACTCCAAGCTGCTGCCTCTCCAGTGATTTTAAAATCAACTGTATGCCACAAAATTGGAGTCCAGTGGGAATTTAAAAAAATGAAGGGAAACATTGTGATTTAAAAAACCTCCCCTTATATTATAAATATTTTCACGTACCCTTGTTTTTAAACATCTTGATGTTTTACCAACATACTGTAATCCACAAGGGCACGTGAGCAAATATACCACATTTTTAGAATGGCATGTAATTAAAGAGTCTCTATTATACGGTTTTGATCCCATCCGCGATTTAACCCCTTAAGGACCAAACTTCTGGAATAAAAGGGAATCATGACATGTCACACGTCATGTGTCCTTAAGGGGTTAAAAGTTTCCACTTTGTTTATATTTTTACATCCCATGCAGTCACCACAAAAGTAAAATCCTTTATTGGTGGGGGCGGAGCCTAACCTCCGAGCAAGCCAGACGTACCTTGAAAGAGCTCTAACTGAAGAGACAATTTGTTGTTTTTTTTTTTTACTATTTTATTACTATTTCTCATGACCAGACACCACATCATAGGTCTTGGAGCTTTAGCCTACCTGAGACTACTTTGCTCGGCTCAGGGGTTCATATTTGGACACTCAGATGATCCCTCTGCTCAGGAGCATACCACTAGGTGCAAAGACAACCAGAGTCTCCCCTCCTCACCCCAAGACTGTCCTTTGAGAGACCACCACCGCTATTGCCCGCCAAGGTGGCGCCTGATCCACAGAGGGAGCATGACACCTCGGATGATTCCCCTGAGAAGGAAGTCGTACACACTTAACCTCACCCTGCTAGAGGTTATCAAACAGCTGAATCAGATGAGGACTCCTCTCCATCGACGAAAGGAGAAATCAAAAGATTTCTGGTAGACCCAAGAAAGGTGTGGAAGTCAGACCTCCAGGAGACACAAGCAGACAAAAACCCTGCAGCACAAGGTGAAGGCTGTGGAGGAGAGAGAACAGACGCAGGATACTCAACTGCGAGATACCAAAGGTACATATGGAGGGCCTCATCACACAAGTCAAAACAGCATAAATTGGTGCTTACGCTAGAGTCCCAGCATAGGCGACAGAATATACGCCAAAGAGGCATGCCTGAAAGGGTGGGCGGAGGGGACATATTGCCATTCACCCAAAGCCTGATTGTTTCTATGGGCATTCCAAATACTACAGATGCCCCATCCATCCTGGCCTCTTTCAGAGTACATAAATCAGCAGCGACACCAGCTGATGCACCTTGGGACGTAATTGCGACTACCAGAGACATTGCGGTGAGAACCACTATAATGAATAGATATAGAACCATTGGACGGGTGCACTTTGAAGGTCATATGGTGTCCATCTATAGCGACCTTCCTTTTCTGCAGTTACAGAGTGAAGACGGCTGGCTCCAGCTGCCAGGAAACTCCGGGACTACTCTGTTAAGTATCGCTGGAATGCATAGGGCTCCCTTGCTGTCATACACGGCACTGAAACACTCACCCTCTCCTCCTCTGATAACCCAGACATACTTTCACAAACTGAGCCTACCGTACACTAATATTTTGGAGGACACAAACCAGGTGGACATAACACACAAGAATAAGGCCCCAGGAAGAGTGATCCCAAGAAGCAATTTGATCAAGTGACACTCTCCCAGACCCCGTCAGTATACAACCACCCTAAACAAACAAACAGTCTCAAAATACTGTTGCCTTAGTTAATTTTCCTTTTCGTTCATTTCCTTTACCCTTTTTTCTACTTCTCTTGCTAGTTTACCTATCACTAGCATGACTAAGAGTGATTTTATGCCCAGAGGTACGTGACTTGCTACCGTATAAATCACGTTGATGAGCTGTCTGGTCGGCTGACCACCTGCAGCTTACGCAAAGTCACACCTTGTACAGTGGCACTAAACTTACAGGGTCTTCATCTTTACTGTCTCCTCTTTAAACTTCCTTCCTATAGGTCTATTAGAGGAACTATGCATAGCCTTGATGTACCATTTAATGCTTATTCATCTCATATATTGGTACAGATGTACACTATGTGTTCAAATCTAATTTTATATATATATATATATATATATATATATTTTTTTTATATATATATATTTTTTTTTAATCCTTTATTGGTATCCCTGTATGAATTTAAAAAGGGTATTCTCATTATTGGGTACATCTATACAGCTTGAGGTAAGTATCTAAGATTTTTAGCAATATCTAGATAGAGGTTCATTAAAAAACAGCTGCATTGAGCAGAAAAATACATGAAGACTAATTTTCAAACAGTCCTGTTCACTGATGAGTGCCGTGAAACCCTGGATGGTCCAGATGGATGGAGAAGTGGATGGCCAGCCTGTTCCAACAAGGCTGCAATGTCAGCAAGGCGGTGGTGGAGTCATGTTTTGGGCCGGAATCATGGGAAGAGAACTGGTCGGCCCCTTTAGTGTCCCCGAAGGTGTAAAGATGACCTCTGCAAAGTATGTGGAGTTTCTGACTGACCACTTTCTTCCCTGGTACAGAAGGAAGAACTATGCTTTCTGTAATAAAATCATCTTCACGCATGACAAGGCACCATCTCATGCTGCAAAGAATACCTCTGCATCAATGGCTGCTATGGGGATAAAAGGAGAGAAAGTCATGGTGTGACCTCCATCCTCCCCTGACCTCAATCCTACTGAGAACCTTTGGAGCATCCTCAAGCAAACGATCTATGAGGATGGGAGGCAGTTTACATCCAAACAGCAGCTATGGGAGGCTATTCTGACATCTTACAAACAAATTCAAGCAGAAACTGTCCAAAAACTCACAAGTCCAATGAATGCAAGACTTGTCAAGCTGCTATCAAATATGGGGTCCTATGTTCAAATGTAACGTGACCTGTTAAAATGTTGTTATAAGTTTGATTGAAATAGCTTTTGATGTCAGTAAATATGCTGCAACCACAACAAATGACAATTTTCAGTTCTTTACAACCTACAAAAGTGTTTTGAAACTTACTGTGTGTAATAATTTGGAACAGTGCAAATACTGTTATCATTAGGAGGTTTGTTCAATAAAATCTGAATTGTACTCTTAATAGTTGAAAACATAAAAATTATGCTGACTGTTATTTACATCAATTATTTAGGTAAATGAGAAATATATCATTTGCATAATAATTTGGAACAGGGTGTAGATTGCTACTATTCCTTCAGGTAAGTATTGACATTTAATTCCTGGAACGCTCTTCCTCATTTGGTGGAGTTTTTTTCCGCAGATCTCATGGAATGGTTAGTAAACTAATTGAATCTTCTCCTTCACTCAGAAGGGCACCTTCTGAATCATACAGATTGCTGGTAATACATTTGATACATTCTGATAAACCTTTATTTTTCATTTAAAAACAAAAAAAAAAATATTTCACCAGTGAGAGGTGAACCCACCTTTTCTCTATGGGAAACCACATCTGAACAGATCAGGATCTACAAGGAACCAATTTACATTTTCATTAGAAAGTCAGAGCTCATTGGTTTATATAGATAGACTATTTAGCAGGCTGAGGAGACCTAATGTGCATTAGAGCTCTCCATAGGAAAGCATTGAAAATGCTTTCCTATGGGGAATTGAGCGACGTTGGAAATCCTCACACAATGTGAAAACCTGTGCTATAGACACGGAAGTGCCCTCTATTGGCTGTCTAGTGACAGGCACTAGAGGAGGAGTTAACCCTGCAATGTAACTATTGCAGTTTATTAAAAAAAAAACCTGCAATAATTACACTTGCAGGGTTAAGGGTAGTGGGAGTTGACACCCAGACCACTCCAATGGGCAGAAGTGGTCTGAGTGCTTGGAGCGTCCCTTTAACAAAGTTGTATTCTCTTCAAGTTCATTCCCACCCTCTTACGAAGTCTTATTTGAGATTAATGCTTCTTGACTTTTGCCTTATTTCCTCATTTTCTCTCCCACAATTAGCATTGCCCTTTTCTAATAAACTGACCAAAATGTATTAAATAGTAGTACTGTATTAGTAAATCACACCATGGAAACCATATTGCACCATGATCCAATCTTTCCAAATGCAATATAGGCATCATTTATATCAATATGCTAATCTCCTGGAGGTATAGGCTTAAATCTTACGTAAAAACACAAACCAATAAACATAAATGCAGAGAGTAAGGCAAACTTCAAAAGGAATACTCCAAACACAATAACTTCGGCTTAGAAAGTGTAACAGACTTGACAAGGACCAATTCAGTAGTAGTCTGATTTAGAGAGAGAGACTAGTTATCACAAAGTGCCAAGTGAGGCAAGATTAAGAGAGCCACATCACTGTATAAGTAAATGAAAGCCCTGCTTCACCATTCCACAATTTGCTTTGTTCTCTATGCTATACCTGAACAATGTATATCTGCAGTTGAAATGCATTGAACAGGTTTGTGCATACATAACTTTGTTTTGAATGCCACCCATCACCCATTCTGTACAAAATACATTGAGAAATGAAAGACCTACAAAAACGTTACTTCTCTATTGCCTCTCTTTTGCTTAATTTAACAGTCTTATGGCTAGTCTCCTGCTTAAGGATTCCCTCTGTGATTGCACAAGCAGACAAAGGTTGGCGCTGGAAGCTGGGTGGAAATTACACATAAAGAAGAATATCATTTGTCAACACTGACAAATAACAGCCCAAATAATATAAAAAAAACCAAAAAAAAAAAACCTCAGATCTGTCTTGCGTGCACCATATGCTACTCATGTATAGAGTATAATGCTGATAATCCTCACCTGATCTCCTTTGGCAGACTCTGGATTAGAAACTGCAGGTTTCTGTGCGGTCTGTGCATCTCCAACATGGATGTGGTCATCCCTTTTGTTTTGCACTTTTCCTGTGGCACACTTTGAGGAATCCCCAGAGATGGGCGTTTTCTGGTTTCTGGGACTAACCTCCCTTACAGAGGCTGAGAGAGCGGCTTTGTGAAGTCCACCTTTCTTTCCTGGTGCCCCACTTTGCACAGCAGAAGAGGACAAGCTTTTCTTTGCAGTTCCATTGTTTACCCCTGTATTCCTTTCCGTTTCAAAACCTCTTCTTAAACTCCGGGGATCTGGTTTTCGCCGGACCTCTGAAGTCTCGCCTGATTTGTTCAAGGTTTTATCAGGAACTATTAAAGATGACTTCGCTTTCCCAATATCTTTCTGAAGTGTGCTCTTCCCATCAACTTTCAAGACTTCTTTTTTCTTCTTCTATGGAGAAATGCAAAGAAATTCATTGCAACTATAACAAATTATTTAAAAAGTAAAGTTACATTTAGCTTTTCGCAATTCATACACCGAAGTTCTTATTTAATAATTTAACTCAATGTTTTTTTAAAACACTGAACATACATTTAATAAACTTCAAAAAGATGAAAGGCTGAGTAAACCCTGTCAAAAAAAAACCCCTGAAACTGTACATTCTACTGGTACTGCACCAGGAACATTAGCCACTGAACTACCAAACTGCAGCCTATACAGGACACGGTTAAGCTTTCTAAAATGTTAGATAAGTGAATCAGAAAGGACCTCTTGATATTTTAAAATAGTAATAAGTTGAGGGTTAACATTGTGCTAATCTGCAGATACATAAAAGCTTTCATCTTCTTTGCATATGCTAAATTTTCCTATCCATACCAAGCATCCCAAATAAGAGCATTCTAGGTGTGCATACATGCACATGAAGATCACCTGCTAAATTAAAGATTACTATGTTTAGGCATATACAGTGGAACCTCGAACAAGTCGGAAGTTGAACTAAAATTTTGCGTAAAAAAATGTCTCAGTACCTGAACACATCACGTGGCATTCACAGAGGGACACAAGTGTGGGGAAGCATGTGATATAAGTGTGAGATGAGGAAATAGGGGCAGATGGACTATGTAAGGGGAGAGAAGGGAATATAGGGAGAGGAAAACCAGAAGGCAGAGGGACACAAGTAAAGGGTGAAGGGATATGGACAGAATTATTATTCAAGGAGAAAAAGGAAAATATGAGGAGAAGGACACCAGATGACAAAGGCACCCGAGTAAGGGAAGAGGGACTATGGACATAATGATACAAGCAGAGGAAAGAGGGGTATTAGATATTTTGAACCAAATACAGCCATTTTATATGCTTTCGTATGTAATGCCAGAAGAACAGTTACCTATCCCCATCCACGTAATTTTGTGGATCTGGAACGTATTAATCAAGTTTACATTAATTCCTATAGGAAATGTAGATTCAGTTCTCAAACAGCCTTCTGGAACGGATTAAGTTCAAGTTTCGAGGTTCCACTGTATGGTACATTTAAGAACTAACTTAACGAATCTTACCTGGAGTGCTGGCCATTTGTTCAAAGGGATCTTCTTATGCAAAATGAGTTGCAAGAAGTTCCCCTTTTCTTTATATTGTAATTTACTACATGACCCTTCGATTTCTTCATGAAAGGAGCAGCTCCACTTATGGCCCTCTGTAAAATAAAAAACAAATGTGCTTGATACGGTGTTCTCTTATTTACTTTGTATATATTCTTTATTATGGGGGATTTGTAGCCAGAAATGCATTACAAAAAAATAATTTAAAAACAAACAAACTATAAATTCATCCCTACCTGTAGTATATGACAAGATCCTTCAGGGAGTGAAGTGCTTTCCCTCCCTCCCCCCAACACTTTTTGACCATATGAAGTTTTTCCTCCTCTCGCTCTCTATTAAAGTATACTTCATTTATTAATAAATACAAATTTTAAAAACACTAAAATAAATTTATATATATATATATATATATATATATATATATATATATATATATATATATATATATATATATATATATATATATATATATATTTTACAAGGATGGATACATACATTGAGATCACTCTTGTTTTCAAGTGTATAAAATTAGTGATATATATATATATATAAAAATATTTCGAGGAGGCGGCAGTTGTCCTTTAACGTGCCGTTCAGAAATTCAGCAAAACAAAAGGTGTAATTAGCCCACTAACGATATATGCAACATTGAGGAAAAAAAAATAGGCTACTCAAATGCCTTAATTTAAAACATAACTTTTAAATAAAAAGAAATGTGTCATACTGGATTTGCCTGGTTGGTGAAGATTACCTGGAAAGCAGATAACACAGTCCGTATCGGTAAACTCTGCGTTAAGTTCGTCTACATTTAAGACTCCTGACCCAGCATTCAACTTCACAATTACTTCATCTGAATTTTGCTTCCAGTCTATAACCATTTCTAAAATAAAAAGTGAAAAGAGAGTTAAGACAAAGAAAGAACATTAAAAAGGACTGACTAAAATACCAGCATATTAAGGAGAGAGGGGAAAAAATAAAATAAAAATCCAGTCAACAGAAATAATACAGGATCAGATAAAGTCCACACATAATCCATTGAACTAATTTTTAATTGAATTTCAAACAGTTCACAATTGATTAAAGGGACATTCCAGGCACCACATTCCTGCATGGTGTCAGGAGGTCCTCTTGAGGAACGCTTACCTCAAGGGGTTGAGCAGTTCTTAAACGGTTTAACCCCTATGTTTGCATCTAGTGTCAATTTCCACTCCCCCCAGGCAGCATCAGACTCCGTTCCGTTCGCGTTGAATTTGCGTTCCAGTCTTTCTACTCGCATGGTGGTTCCTGCGAGTAGAAAGACGGTTTGGAACACACGTGGAACGCATAATAAACGCGAACGGAACACGATGATGTCACACACCCGGAACCAGGAAGTAATCGCGATCTGACTACAAGCAGGTGAAATGAAGCCGAACAGCACGTGGAAGACATCGATCAACAAATTGTGGGGGGTATTTAAGTGGGAGGGAGGGGGATGTATGTATTCTTTTTGTTATCCTGTCTCACCACTGCAAAGAAGTCCTTGAGGAAGTCCCTGATTGTGAGGAAACGCATTGGACAGATTTTACTTGTGTTTTATGCTGATTGATCCTTACCTGTGTGTAAGTAAACAATTTTTATACTTTATGCATTCTTTCTTGTACTTCAATTTGGATGCATCTTTATTTTACATACTGCTGAGATCTACAAGACCAGCCACTGGAAGCAAGGAACTGCCTGAATGCTCCATTTGATTACTACACGCCCTACTTTATCAGTTAAAGTGTGAGTGACCATTTAGCCAAGCAGTTATTTTTTTAGTGTTATACAGAAGTGCACTATGTTCTTCTTTGTTTCCTCATAGTTGGATAACCCTATTGTGATTTGACTAGTAAGGGTGTAGAGAGTCTTTTTTTGTTCGTTCATTTGTTTTAATAAAAAGAGTTTTCAAACAATTATTTCAAAGGCAGACCTGGTCCATGACAAAGAATGAATAGCATTCAAAGTAATTAATGAGACATGCAATTATTACAAGTCAGGGCTGGATCTGATAATGGTTAGTATAAATGATTTAGTTTTCTGTTCTTCAGCCCTCTGGTATCAGCCACAGATAATAAACAAAACCAAAAAAAAAAAAAAACCCACAACCAAGGCCATGGAGATAAAAGCACATTTTGTCGGTTTCCATCAATGTAAAAATATGGGAGAGATTTATTAAAGTACAAAATAGGTGATATTTTGGGCAGATAGATGAATAAGCATCAAACACAATGGAAACCAAGAGAATGTCACTCAATATTTAACACAATGTACTTGAATAGCACCTGTTTTCTCTTGATAAATCTTCACCATTGTAATCGGAATGCTGTGTTACTATTCCCGATCACAGGATTTTATCATTTGGTTTTTAAGGAAGCTGTTAACTTTTCAAAATCTGCCCCTCCAAAAACATTTTTAATTTCTTTCAATTTGACAATTTTTGTTGTTTTTGTCAATGTAAGGAAGGGGGGAATAAATAGGGTTTGGGTACAGAGAGAAGGGTGAGCAGAATGTGTTACATCACATAGTTCCTGTACAACGTTGTTACATTGGATGCAATAAACAGTGGCTGTGTGACACAGCACACTTCATCATGTCTAAACATTACATTGTATTGTGGAGAGCACTCCATATGGGGGATTGTGCTCTGTGACTTTCAACCCATGTAAATTTATTCATCCCCGTAGATTTGGTGATACCAAAAGCAATTTAGTTAGTCGGGTTTGGGCCCACAGTGGAGTGCAATCGTATAGAAGCAGGATGTTTAGGTGTGCAGTGCGCTCGATGTTTTTTTAATTTATTTTTTTAAATACCAAAATTCTTGAGCTTTGTCACATAAGCAAGTGCAACAATAACAGGTCTGCTCGGACTTGTATAATTCAGATATTAACAAGGGTGAGTTGGGGTGGGGTTAGGGTATACAATAGTGGTCCAGCATGCCTACATAAGTATATGGAAGAGAAAAGAAAACCTTGTCAGGTTTCCCTTTCTTCTAGAGCGTAGGGTTTTTGCGAGCTGGTACCCTGGGGTCTGCATCCCCTCCAAAAAATGTAAAGTATATATTAAGAAAAAAAAACTAACTTTTCTCAAAATAAATAAAAAAATTAATTACATTTTTTCCTTTTTAGTGTTACTGTGAAAACCCAAGCCTGTAATGTTAGTTTTATTTTATATCTTTCCCTTTTGACAAAAGCCAAGACAACAAAACAATGTGATAAACATTCAAATATAACTATGTATGGATTATGGTGGCTTGTTGCGAGTAAAATGTAAAAAAATAATAATGTATTTGTTTTCTATATAAATAATAATGTGCCTTAATTTACTGTAAGCAGGGAAGGAGCAATATTTTATCCAACCCATTTGTTTTCTATTTATTTTCACTTCCAAAAATTACAAAATTCAAGAATATAATTGCTACCCACTTTAAATGGATACTATAGTGTTCAAACCACAAGCATGTACTATTAACGCTATAGTGTCCTGAGACCTACCTAGATATGCTGTGAGGTTTTGAAAAGAAGAGTAATACTTACCTTTCAGCCTTCGCGCCACCACTTTGGCCGAGCTCATTGATGTTGGTAATCTCAGCCAATCTAATGCTTTACAAAGGAAAGCATTGGGAGGCAAGTGATTACATGCGGCAAAATGCCATAATACGCCAATCAAATGCTGTTCTAGAACAGATTAGAAGGGAACTTGCACTTCTCAGTATTTTTAATATTGTGTTTATTTATCCCCATATTTAACAAATAAGCATCCGTGGGAGGTGATTTTTTTTTTTTTTAATTTACAAATCAACATCCCTTTATCCAGCATCAGGACACCTCCCTATTAGCTTCCGGTCAATAAACTCCGTCCTTTGCACATGGCAGCAGGTGTGGAGAAAGAATACAGAGATGAGGAGAAATTTGACCTTAAGAGGGATACTATTAGGCATCAAAACAACTTTAACCTAATGAAGCAGTTTTGGTGTATAGATCACACTACCCCAGGGTCTCACTGCTTAATTATCTGCTGTTTAGGAGTTATATGACTTTTGTTTCTTTCCATGCAGCCGCTGTGACTGACAGTCTGCATGGGGAAAAAAAATAAAAAATTGTTTCACTTGCATATAGCTATTAACTTTTTTTTTTTTTTTTTTAATTAAACTTTAATCACACAAGCTCCTGCAGATGAAGAAGGTAATTAACAGAGAAGAGCCAATACATTTTAAGTTAAACAGAATGTGCAATGAAGGAAGTTTAAACATTAGATCTTTCTTTACAGGAAGTCTGTGTTAGTCACATGCAGGGAGGTGTGAGTAGGGTTCTTATGAACAAAGTGATTTAGCTCTTAAATGCCTAAATGTCATAGAACTGAGCAGTGAGACAGCAGGAGCATGATCTATACACCAAAAACTGCTTCATTAAGGTTAAGTTGTTTTGGTGCTGACAGTATCCCTTTACATTTGGAATTCACTTTGAATTTTCACTTTAATAAATAAAACTAACAATCTCAAAAGTGTCTGATAAAATAACCTCTTTAGACAATGAATTTCATATGTGTATTGTTCCTGCTATAAAGAAACCTGTACTGTGCAACAAAATACTTCTGCTTAATGTCCTCTTTTCTTTGTTTCTTTGGACAGTCTTGCTAATTAAAAAGAACACTACTGATTTAGGAAAACAAACCAGAGAAAAGGCAGGGTTTACATTACAGCCCAGGGATCCTTCAAGGGCCACTCTACAGATGGCCACTAAAGCTGCTTCATGGTGTATTGCAGCACAGTTTCTCCATATGGATGCATCGATTAAATGCATCTCTATGACGAGATGCTAACTGGTCGGGGCAGCACCTTGGCTGAGATAGTCAGAATTGACGATCCCAGCCAATCCAAAGCCTGTGGGCAAGCATTGTGATTGACTGAGATCATCAATTCTGATGTCAGCCAAGGAGGCAGATTGGGGGTGGAGCCAGCGCTGACTGCTGGAAATAGGAGAGTATTACTAGTTTTTAAAGAGGGCAAGGGGGGAATATTTTAACACTATAGGGCAGTGATGGCTAACCTTGACACCATAAATCGTTTCTGGACTACATTTCCCTTGATGCTCAGCTAGCTTTTAGACTCTAAAAGCTAGCTGAGCATCATGTGAAATGTAGCCCAGAAACAATTTATGGTGGTTAACCTTGACAACACAGTTATAGATTCAGGAATTGTGTTCCTGACCATGTAGTATTTCTTTAACATTACATAAACACATTAAATGTAAAGCTAATTTTATTCAATCAAGTAGGAACGCCAAACCTCACTGTAAATCTAGGGATAATGGTCATTCACCTTTCTTTGACTCACTGTAGGCAGACAACTTGCCCTCTTTGCTCTCCTGGTTGACCTTGTCCTTCTGCTTTTTCTTACTGACAGCATCTTCAGTTGCACGGTTACCTCTCCTTTGACCAGTGCCCTCGGCAGAATGAGACATCTTTTGCCGTTTGGTGGAAACGGAAGGGCCCCCAGGGTCTGTAACAGAGTCTGGGTCAGGGGTGCGGCGTTTTCTACCTGGGCCAGCTATCTTGGCGACTCTTAGTGGTTAAATTCTTTGTCAAGGAACAAAACGGTCTGTAAAGAAAAGTTATTGCTTTAAAAAGTGACTGTTGAAGTAGAAAGATCCTAAAATTAAATTTTTGACTAGAGTTAATATATTGAGAACTTTTACAGATTATTTTGTACATAGCAGAATAGAAAAAAAATTTATAAACAGCTTGAAAAACTTTCGTATAACCTAAATCTACACAATTCACAATTTAGCAAAGGTATCAATATGTAGTCTCACTCTTCTGTTCTAAATTGGATTCAGGTCTCAGTGAATCCTAAATTCCTATAAATGGATTAAGATATGATGTACTTCACTTTAATTACCTCTAGCAACTCAAAGAGAGAATGTTGGCATTCTCCTTCTATTCATCCTGCTAGGTTGCAATAAATAACCTGTGTCTGCAGATTTGATTAGCTCACCGTGTTTTTTAAAGGAACACTATAGCAACACAAACATGTATTCCTGACCCTTCATGTTTAACTCACCATTTAGGGGGCTTGTTTCCCATTAGAAGGGGTTAAAACATACCTTCTTTTCAGCGCCGCGCAGGTCTGCTATTGTTGGCCCCACCCCCGATACACCTCCTTGGTGACATCAGAATTGCAGACTTTTACCCAATCCAAATAGGCATGGAGGCAGGGACAAACACCATTGTGGCCAATCAGCACCTCAAAGAGATGCATTAAATCAATGCATCTCTAAGAGGATAATTCAGCGTCTCTATGCAAAGAGTGGAGACGCTGAACGGCAGTGCTGCCTACTGTGCAGCACTGCCCCAGGAAGCACCTCCAGTGGCCATCTAAGGAGTGGCCCCTTGGAGGTGTCCCTAGGGGGCAATGTAAACACTGCCTTTCTCTAAAATGGCATTGTTTGCATGAAAATGCCTGAAGGCAATGATTATACTCACCAGAACAACTACATTAAGCTGTAGTTGTTCTGGTGACTATAGTGTCCCTTTAATGAAAATTACCTGCACCCACATTTGCTGTCCAACCTCTCTCCAAGAAGCTATGATATATATTTGGCAATCATATACTGTACAGGAGGTGGAGGGGTGTGTGTGTGTGTGTGTGTGTGTGTGTCACATCAGTAAAATACCTCCTAGCTTGTCATGTGTGGCCTCCCTCCAGTGCCTTAGCACATTACGTCCTAAAGCAATGAGTCACTAGGCAATCTATAAAAACGCCAAAGTCGTCCTTTGTGTCATTGGCACTGGGCATACGCATCAGGCATGCACACCCAGCCATGGGCAAACTATAGTATTTTTGGGCACCACCATCTTAGAAACTGCTCCAAGAAAGAACCTGGAGGGATCAGACAACTGTCTTAAACTGCGAGTTAAGGGTTTAAAATCGTTGGGGTGTTGACGCCCAGTGTTACAAGGAAACGTATCCCCCAGATGAGAGCCAAGGGATACACAACATGACACAGCCGCTTTAACTAGTAGTAGGCAAGTAGTAGCAAAAAGCTGAAACCACAATGAATAGGAAAATAGGATAAAGACAAGGGAACTACTTACATCATATTGTAAGCTAGGTACATTGGATTCTTGAGCTTTGAATGTCATTAGAACGGGCAACCAAAGCACCATAAACACTACGAGTCCTTATCACGGGCTGATATACTCAGCTAATAAATACCATCCAATTTGGACAAAATGTATACTATTAATGAACCAACTCTTAAATCCCAGAAAATACAAAAAAAGTCAAGTGAATGCAAAAATATATTTATAAAATATGAAGGAAACTGCAAAAAAAAAAAAAAAGTTGCAAGAGAGTACTGAGAACAAATTTAGGATGCACCAAAATGAAAATTCGGGGAGGAAAACCGAAAATTCAGGATGCCCTTGACCGAAAACCAAAATCGAAACATAAAATTACTTTTTTCCCCAAAAGATTTAAAAAAAAAAAATTTTTTTCTAGAATTTTATTATTATTAGACTTTGTATCAGTTCTTCCCTATGGGGACTTAGCAGACGCAGGATGTCCTCATGCACAGCGTGAGGACGTCCAGCAACAGTTAGGCGACTTTTGGTCACCTAACCACCTGGAAGTCCCTCTGGTAGACTAGAGGTGGAGTTAACCCCTCAAGGTAATTATTGCAGTTTCTCAGAAACTGCAATAATTACACTTGCAGGGTTAAAAAGGGACTGGGACACTGCACCCAGACCACTTCAATGAGCTGAAATGGTCTGAGTGCCTATAAAAGGGACACTGTAGGCACCCAGACCACTTCAGCTCGTTGAAGTGGTCTGGGTGCTGTGTCCCATTTGCACCTAATGCTGCAATGTTAAACATTGCAGTCCCACAGAACTGCAATGTTTACAGTCACTAAAGTGCTGCAATGTAGAGACCAAAGAAGGAAAACTTCACTCCCAAATCTAAAAGGCAAAATGGTGTTGGTAATGGTATTATTTACAAAAATAAATAAAAAAAAAGCCTATACATATTTAAATTGTTAGTCTGAAGAAGTAGATTTAAAATTGGCAGAAATGTCCTAAGGTATGTATTTTAACCAAAACATTGCAATACATAACTGACTCCACCCTATAGATTGTGGGAAAAGCAGTGCTGTTCATGTCATCATATATACCAGCTTGCCTCATTACCTGTTAAAAAAAAAAAAAATTTATATATATATATATATATATATATATATATATATATATATATATATATATATATATATATATATATATATATATATATATATATATATATATATATATATATATATATATATATATATATATAATATATAAAATATATAAATAAATTTTTTTTTTTTTTTAAATGTGCGAATTGTCGCATTTCGGAAGTGCTGATCACAATTGCCGAAGGGATAGGGAATTGCCAAACTGAACCAAATTTATTTGCCATTGCACATCCCTAAAAATAAATATAATTTTTATTTTTTATTTAAATCTTTAGACAGTTGTAAAGGACTTGTTTAGTGATAGTTAAAATTAACATTCCAAACACCATAATCACTACAGTATGCTGTAGTGGCCATGGTGCCAGGATTGCCCTGGAACCCCCTCCCCCACGTGGTAAGGTATCCATTACTGGTAGGTGACAGCTGGACGCTGTCTTCACTGAGCTTAGCCTGGCAGTGCAGGACTTAGCTCACTGGATGAGAGTGATTAGCTGATGCAAGAAATTCTGTCTTCAGTAGTAGAGGAATGGAGCAATGCCTGGTGGACACGAAGTAAGCCAAACTATGTTTTGTTTTTAGTTGAAAACTGAAATTAAACGTGACAAACTGAATATAGGCATTAGTGAGTTGGACAACAATGGATGTTTAGTCTACAACGTGCAAACAAAAAAGGTGTTTAATCTAAAAAAAAAAATTTTTTTAAAGAAGAGCTGGTATATAAAAAAACAAACAAAAAAACCACCACATATTTATATTACTTTTGGCAATGCTTAGTTAAATGTTTTCATTTAAAAATTTGAGCTGAGGAGTTTAGATTTACCAAAGAGCTAAGGGGGGTTGGGACAGACACACACACACACACAAAACACATACATTTCACATTTATTTTACTTCAGCAATATTATGTGACCAACATCAGTTTAAATCATACAACTTCAAATGCATTATTTGAATCCTGCTTCTCTAGTAATCAAAAACACAGATGTGAGCTTCAGAGGATTACTTGTCACCATCTGTGAAGTGTGGAATACATTTCAACTAAAAGCATAAGACTTTGTCCAGCACAGATTGCAAACAAGACATTCTAAAGGAATTCAGTTACAGCCACATAAAGATCTATGTCCCAAGCAAAGGGAGGAGAAATATCTATACCAAGCGGCTTGTTACAAAATAATATTCTACGTTACACAGTCAGAAATTGTATGCCACAGATATATTTTTATTTTCGATCAACCATACATGGGAAAAATTAAACAGTAATCAGGTTTCCTATCCAAATAACCTTGCTCATATTCAAATTCTAACCAAGTTGTCCTCATAAGCATTTTCCCTGCACCCCAAGCATTATCCATAAGCTCCAAGCGGTCATCCCAATCATTACCTACGGTTCCCTAAGCTGTCATCCCAATCATTACCTACGGTTCCCTAAGCTGTCATCCCAATCATTACCTACGGTTCCCTAAGCTGTCATCCCAATCATTACCTACGGTTCCCTAAGCTGTCATCCCAATCATTACCTACGGTTCCCTAAACTGTCATCCCAATCATTACCTACGGTTCCCTAAGCTGTCATCCCAATCATTACCTACGGTTCCCTAAGCTGTCATCCCAATCATTACCTACGGTTCCCTAAGCTGTCATCCCAATCATTACCTACGGTTCCCTAAGCTGTCATCCCAATCATTACCTACGGTTCCCTAAGCTGTCATCCCAATCATTACCTACGGTTCCCTAAGCTGTCATCCCAATCATTACCTACGGTTCCCTAAACTGTCATCCCAATCATTACCTACGGTTCCCTAAGCTGTCATCCCAATCATTACCTACGGTTCCCTAAGCTGTCATCCCAATCATTACCTACGGTTCCCTAAGCTGTCATCCCAATCATTACCTACGGTTCCCTAAGCTGTCATCCCAATCATTACCTACAGTTCCCTAAGCTGTCATCCCAATCATTACCTACAGTTCTCTAAGCCGTCATCCCAATCATTACCTACGGTTCCCTAAGCTGTCATCCCAATCATTACCTACGTTCCTCATGCTGTCATCCCAATCATTACCTACGTTCCTCATGCTGTCATCCCAATCATTACCTACGTTCCTCAGGCTGTCATCCCAAGAACTATGCCTGTACCGCAAGCTGTCATCCCAATCATTACCACTGTACCCCAAGCTGTCATCCCAATCATTACCACTGTACCCCAAGCTGTCATCCAAAGCATTACCCACGTTCCCCAAGCTGTCATCCAAAGCATTACCCACGTTCCCCAAGCTGTCATCCAAAGCATTACCCCGTTCCCCTAGCTGCCATGCCAAGAATTACCCCTCTACCTACCACAAGCGGTCATCCCGAGCTTTTTAATGATTGGGATGACAGCTTGGGATACGGGGTCAGCCCAAGCAATAAAGGACCACTATAGGCACCAAGACCACTTCAGCTCAATGGAGTGGTCTGGGTGTCCGGTTGCCCTAGTTTTAACCCTGCAGTAGTTATGTTATTTATATAGCGCCATTGAATTCCGCAGCGCTTTACAGTGGGTGGACAAACAGACATGTTGTTGTAACCAGACAAGTTGGACACACAAGAACCAGACAAGTTGGACACACAAGAACAGAGGGGTTGAGGGCCCTGCTCAATGAGCTTACATGCTAGAGGGAGTGTGGTAAAATGACACAAAAAGGAAAACAAATGGGAAATTAATATTCATGACTGCAGTATCTACTAAACAATGACTTTTCAACTGACTTTTGAAAAACAAGTTGGTTGATTACACTATTTACAAATCAAATGTAGTGCTTATTTTTACACTATCCACTAATAGCCAAGTGTTGGAAAATATTGCACACTTTATCCAGTTTGCAATAAACAATTTTGATGATGATAACCCTGTTAATAGTGATTTGTTAAGTAATGACTAAAAGACCTTTAAAGTAACTATCTAGCTGCAACCAAGTGTTCTATAACAACAAGAATTACCCCTGTACCCCCAAGATGTCAACCCAAGAATTACCCCTGTAATCCCAAACTGTCTTCCCAAGCATGACCCCGTACCTCAAGCGGTCATCCCAAGAATTAGCCCTGTCTTAACCTGCTCGGATACTTCTCACTCTCCAGTTCAATGCCCCCAGCCTCCCTCCTGTACCCCGTGCCCCCGGCCTCCCTCCTGTACCCCGTGCCCCCGGCCTCCCTCCTGTACCCCGTGCCCCCGGCCTCCCTCCTGTACCCCGTGCCCCCGGCCTCCCTCCTGTACCAGTGCCCCGGCCCTCCCTCCCCTGTGCCCGGTGCCCCGACCTCCCTCTCACTGTACCCGTGCCCCAAGCCTCCCTGCTGTTGCCGGTGCCCCCAGCCTCCCTCCTGTACCCGTGCCCCGGCCTCCCTCCTGTACCGGTGCCCCCCAGCCTTACTCACCTGTACCGGTGCCCCAGCCTCCCCTCCTGTGCCGCGTGCTGACCTCCCTCCTGTGCCGGTGCTGACCTCCCTCCCTGTACACGGTGCCCCCGGCCTCCCTCCTGTGCCCGGTGCCCCCAGCCTCCTCCTGTACCCAGTGCCCCCGACCTCCCTCCTGTGCCCGGTGCCCCGGCCCCTCCCCTCCTGTACACGGTGCTTACGGCCTCCCTCCTGTGCCCGGTGCCCCCGGCCTCCCTCCTGTACCCGGTGCCCCCGGCCTCCCTCCTGTACACGGTGCCCCCGGCCTCCCTCCTGTGCCCGGTACCCCCGGCCTCCCTCCTGTACCCCGTGCCCCCGGCCTCCCTCCTGTGCCCGGTGCCCCCAGCCTCCCTCCTGTACCCAGTGCCCCCGGCCTCCCTCCTGCTGACTCACGCTGCCCTCTGTCTCCTGCTCGCGTTGTTATTGAGGGCCGCAGTCAGGCCTCCCCAGCCCCGGGACTCGGTGACCCCGCTCCCCTCCTGTGAGTGCCGCAGTCCGGGCCGGTCAGGGTGGCGCGGTGCCAGCGGGCGCTCCCGGCGCTCTGTGTATTGTTCTATGAGGAGCCGTGCGCTGTCCCCGGGCCCTGCGAACATAAACAGACCGTGGGACGCACTTCCTGAAGCTGGGATGGCCGGGCACGTGACTGGCTCCCACGGGTCACGTGACGAGGGCGGGTGAGAAGAAGGCGACGGTGTTGAGTCACGTGAGCGCATTGCGTTCGCCTGATGGGAGCATCGTGTGGAACCTGGTAACCATGGGAACAGGTGGCAGGATGCCCACAAAGGTTCACCACACAGGCCCCAACTGGCTCCAGGACAGCTGTGTGTCTGTACCGGCTCCTCCTGCAGGACACATGGCTTCCATTACCCGTGACATTGAATCGTCCTTGGGATGTCAATAATTATATTAACATACCCCACAGGGGGCTTATTACCCCCAAATTCATTCACTCAGTCCCTATAAAGCCAGGGCTGATCCAGGACAGAAAAAATAAATTAATTGAAAAATCCTGCGAATGAGTGTTTAATCTCAGGTGGTCTGAGACCATTACATACAGAATGCATTGTATTGCTCCACAGCTCTTACCTTCACCCAACATTACTGTGAGTTTATTGCTGAGGAGCTCTGTGATACACACACCTTCGCTGAACATTACTTTTTATTATTGCTGAGGAGCTCGTGATACACTTATCTTCGCTGAACATTACTGTGAGTTTATTGCTCAGGAGCTCTGTAATACCCCCTGTGAGGGAGGGGGCCTAGAGCCACAATCGGCCCGAGCTGCCGGGCTCCCTGCCTGATGACCTAGTTAGGAGCAAGCGGGGGCTGTCACTGCTCTGCAGAGCTGTCAGGAGGGGTGGGTTCTGGACCGCGCAGCACATTATTTATGTAAAGCTTCAACCCACAACGCCAATAAAGGTGGCGGGGTACACGAACACGTACTCGTGGGGGCTCTTCAGAACCGGGCTGCTTGGAAGGGGCGCCGGGGAGATGGTGATACAGTAGACTACATACATGTAGATATTACTGTTTTTGCTTTTGTCTTGCATCATTAAGTTAATTGTTGAAATGTATACATGCTCTCTTTATGCGACATGTCCTGCCTGACACGCACAGGCCTTCAGGCCATGACATTCCCAGCGAGGAACACACATGCTGTATTCCCAAACTGTGAGCCATTATGGGGTGACATGAGGTTTTGACCAATGTGTCCGACATTGGTCTTGGACGACTTTACCCAACTGGTTTCGATCTCTTTGAGGCTCTGGGCCTCCTTCAACTTCCCCACAGGTTTGAGCGTCCTGGTCAGGGTTAACAAGACCCTAGTCCATTGGTAGACGGGTGATTCGCTGCCCCTAGATGCTCGCACCTCGATAGCTCCTTAGAAGGCAAAGGTTCTAACTTTCATTTTAACTCATCTATCTTCTGCCACCCACCTAGTCTTCTTCTCTCGCTTCCCCTCCTTCTTGTTCTCCGTAGTCCCATACTCTATCCCATACTCTATAGCTGACCATGTCGTTGGTTCAGGCAGACCTCACTTTCTTGACTATTAATGCTCGAGGGCTGAATAAGCCAGAGAAACACTCAGGAGCCCTGAAGGACTTCCACACAGCTAGGGCCTCCATAGTGTACATACAGGAGACTCACTTTAAGGAAGGCTCTAAGCCTAAACTGACGTACCACCACTTCTCAGTGGGATATTACAGTGACCATTGCGCAGGCAAATCTAGGGTGGTGGCAATTCTGGTACACAGGAGGGTCCCTTTCCTTGAGGGGGCGGCTCTGACAGATCTGGAGGGTAGATAAAGTTGTAAAGGGCATGATAGATGGGGCAACATACACCTTTGCAAATATCTACGCACCCAATCAAAGGCACTACAGATTTCTCTCCTGCATGCTCCGGAAATTGCGGGCCTCTTTGGACTGAACACTGATCCTGGGGGGGGCGACTTCAATCTGACCCTAGACCCTAAATGGGACACATCCTGAGGAGTGTCCCACGTCCCGCCACAACAGCTATCCTTGATTAAGTCCCTCTTGAAATGCTCACAACTAATAGACTGTTGGAGGGCTCATCACCTGGACGAGCGGGACTATACCTTCCTGTCACGACCCCACAACACATATACGTGACTGGACTACCTTTTTGTGACACACCGCAACTTACCGCTGGTCAGGCGTGCAGAACACGGAACTGCCACATGGTCAGACCATGCCCCCGTATCCCTTACACTCGCATGCCCCCTCTTCAGACCCAAAGTGACAAAATGGAGATTTAAGGAATTCATGCTCTCGCTACCCGACATACTGGCCAACACAGGCAAAGTACTTCGGTACTACATCACTAACAACACCCCAGACCAGATGACACCAAGCACAAAAAAGCGTGGTGAGAGGCCATCTCATCCAAAAGGGTGCACACCTGAAAAGGCAAAGGGAGGAACGCATGACCTCGCTTTTAGCACACAAAATAGATGACTCCAACAAACAGGACAGACATCTGACGCATCAGGCAAAGCTCTTACAATTGAGACGCAACTTGACGGCACTACTTCACTCAAAACATCATAGAGACGCTCTAAGACACAGAGCATTTTTCACTCTGCATGGCAATAAGAGCAGAAAACTATTGGCAAGAATGTTGGCAAATGCAGATAAGCCACGTATATAGACAAAATCCTTGACAAATCGGGAGTATTGCACAGCTTACCGACTAAAATCTAGGAGGCGATACGTACATACTATTCGGATCTTTAGTCCCTCCCACAGTCCCAGACGACCGAGGCCTGCACCTGCTTGCGGGACACAATACAATCGTACCTCACGACACAGACCTCATTTTTAGATAAAGACGTAGCTGACTCCTTGATGAGCCTATCACCCTTAAGTAACTGGCGCAAGCTATAAAAAGAGCCCAGGTCCCGATGGCCTACCGCTCAAGTACTACAAGTGCTTCGCTGATATCCTTTACGTGCCACTGCTGGCCTCATACAACTCCATACAAGAGATGGCCAGCCCATACCCACACAGACCCTGACTGCTCACAACACCATCCTACCAAAGGAGGGCAAGGACGGAGAGCACTGTGGAAATTATAGAGCCATTCCCCTCATTAATTGCGACCTGAAATTAATGGTGAAGAGTCTGGCGGCGCAGCTACAGGCGCATTCCCTACACTGGTACACGCGGATCAGGTGGGGTTCATGACGAGTCGCGCGACCAGAGACAACACTATCAGGGCACTCGAGATTATGCACTGGAGGGCGGCTGGGCACGGGGGCCTTCTCCTGCTATCCACGGACGCGGGTCAGCTGGGATTACATGTTTCAGGTGCTGTCTCACCTGGGACTGGGGCCACATATGAGGGGCTGGATAGAAGCGCTCTACAGGCAGCCCAAGGCACATATGATCATTAACAGGGTCCTCATAGAGGAATTCTCTATCCATAATGGCACCCATCAGGGATGCCCCTTATCTCCGCTGCTCTTTGTCCTTGCTCTTGAGCTGTTCCTGATGGCAATAAGAGGTAACCCAGACATAACCGGGGTAGAGAGGGGGACCACGCACCATAAGATTGCAACCTATGCGGACGACCTCCTCTTTTTTATCACAAACCCAGAAATCTCATTCCCTAACATACTGCAAGCCTTTAAAGATTATGGAGTAGTTTCCAACATAAAAATAAACTTATCCAAGTCCTATGTTCTGAACGTGTCGGTGCCTGGGAACTGAGCTGAATCACTTCGAAGCAGCTATGCGTTTCAATGGGCGGAATCTAAAATTCTATACCTATGTATATGGCTAACTAAGAACAGTGCAGACCTACTTAAAGAGAACTTCGCCCCAATGTTAAACACGCTTAAGAGGGACATGCAGGAATGGTCCTATCCACATATCTAGTGGCTGGGCTGCATCCAGGTGGCTAAAATGAACTTTCTACCGTGGATGCTCTATCTGCAGCAGGCTATCTCCATCCTAATACCATCATCTTACTTTACCTCCCTACGCATGGCCTTAGGGAACTATGTTACATAGTTACATAGTTACATAGCTGAAAAGAGACTTGCGTCCATCAAGTTCAGCCTTCCTCACAAATGTTGTTGCTGTTGATCCAAAAGAAGGCAAAAAACCTGGTCTGAAGCGCTTCCAATTTTGGTTGTTAGAGGGGTGTATGCCGTTGGAGACGTCCTTTTACTGGCGAAAAGGCTGTGCTGCAGAGTATTCCCGATATCCCATCCGCTGGTTCCTTGTAGAGAGGGAGAGGTAGAGCTCTTAAAAGAGCTAGTGATTAAACTGGAAGCAGGTACCCGTCAATAACAAGACAAGGCTACGTATTGTGGGTTAAGCAGAACTGTTTTAACGACCACATAAGCATTTCTTTTAAACACATTTTCCACGCACCCACGTGGACCTTGTTGGGCACTGCAGACACAAACATAACAGTGAATCCTTTACAGTTATACATTTTAAAACACACCCATTCATTACTGTATATTCCTCTCCTCTGTTTGGGAGATAATTGAGTTCATTGCTGTATCAGCTCAATTATCTCCAATTGAAAAAAATATACTTTTTATCCCATTTTTGTAACATTAAAACTATACAGTCAATTTTAATAAAAGTTACATATTTGGAACAAGCAGAATTGGGGGACACACATATTCAAAATTCACACTAATCCGTTCAGGGGATCGGGAGATAGCCGAACGTCCCTTCTCTGCCCGGCCGCACACAAGGCTCCTGCTCAGAATAGTTCCATGTGTTTAGCTGGTGCGGCCGGTCTCCTTTCATATAATAAAAGTACTGAACAGTCATGCTTTTATGGTTCGTGCTTTTGCTGGTCGCGTGCCGCTGTATTTGTGCAACACTTTTACCGAACACCACCTCGTTCGTATGAATCTGGGTGAAGCTAAGTGGTGCTGGAAGTCTCAGCAGTGTTCGGGAGTTTGAGTGTCCGAAAATAGTTCCAGACACTCGACGACCAAACACCGCTGGATGCGTTCGACAAAACAAGATGGCTATGTGTTTGTGCATACGAATCGACGGCCACCTAGTGAACCACTTAAAATGCTTGCGGTTTTGCGGTTAGTCAAAGGTGTAATTGGCGGCACATGACTGGGCTAGGTGGTCTCTCGTTCGGTAGTTTGTTCATTCATACGAATGGGTTTTGCAGTGTCATTCGTTTTCCCATTCGTATGCTTTCAAATAGAAAACTGGCAACAAAATAAAAGTCACAAATCCAGGGGGTTATACAATGTCACAGTCTGTGGTCCAGGCAAAAATAGGGGTTCTGTTACAATATATTAAATTTACAAAAACAGTATCAAAGGCAGTAGAGTGACCAAGGATAATTAAGAGAGAGTAATGACCTTAAGAGTTAACAGAGATTAAGTCATAAGTAACTTAAGGACAGTTTCAGTAGAATGAAGGGAGTGGAAGCCAGAATTGAAGAGGGTCAAGGAGAAACCGTATAAAAATTCACAAAATAATTACCAGATCAGTACTAATTACTTTGAATGCTCAGTACTGGGTTTTACAATAATAATAAACCTCATTACAAAAACCTAACTTCTGGCCTTAGCTCACAGTGATAAACATTGCTAGGGAGAGATTACCTAAACACACTTCCTCCTTTGTTAAATAAGTATATTATTTATTTATTTCTATCCTGTTATGGTCATTTTGCTGAAACATCTTCTAATAAGATTTTCTAGCAAAATGTTTCAGTTTACCAATATAATACATTAGCTACACAGAATATAATTGCCTTTTATAAACATAATAATTCCAGTATATTTTTTTTCCTTTCTAGTAAAAGTACAATTTTACTATTGCCCTTTGATCAATGAGATACACTTGATCAGTGGTGTACACCCGATCCATAGGGTCCCGGTGCGAAAACTGACCTGTGGGTCCCCTCCCCGGCGCTTACACTGCGCGGGCCGGGGCGCTGCAACACATGGTGGCAGGCATCTGGTCGCAGTGTTCGCTGGGCTGCGACCGCGGTATGTACGCCAGTGCATGCAGATACACATACACTTAAAGGACCACTATAGGCACCCAGATTATTTCAGCTCAATGAAGTGGTCTGGGTGCCAGGTCCCTCTAGTTTTAACCCTGCAGCTGAAAACATAGCAGTTTCAGAGAAACTGCTATGTCTCACTGATGGTTAATCCAGCCTCTAGTAGCTGTCTCACTGACAGCCGCTAGAGGTGCTTCTGCGATTCTCACTGTGAGAATCACAGTGAGAAGACGCTGGACGTCCACAGGAAAGCATTGAGTAATGCTTTTCTATGGGTGGTTTGAACGCGCGCAAGGCTCTTGCCGCGCATTCGGAGCTGAGAGGCGGGTCGGAGGCCCGGCGCTGGAGAAAGGTAAGTGCTGAAGGAGTTTTAACCCCTTCAGCCCAGCGGGAGGGGAGCCACAAGGGTGGGGGGGACCTAAGGACTATATAGTGCCAGGAAAACGAGTTTGTTTTCCTGGCACTATAGTGGTCTTTTAATGACAAACATTCAAAAACACATACAGACAAACAGATACCCATGCCGACCAAGAGATACACATACAGACACACATGCAGACACACACAGAGATACACATACATACACACACACACACACATAGAGACACACACTCATAGTGACAGACGCACATACACACTCACTGACAAACACATATACACTCTCACTAACAAACACACACTCACTAACAGACAAGCATACACACACACTCACTAACAGACACACACTCTAACAAACAGACGGATACACACTAGCTAACAGACACACACATTTACTGACAGACACACACTTAGTGACAGACAGACACACATACACACTCACAAAACATACACTCCCACTGACAAACACACACTCACGAACAGACACACACTAACAGACACACACAAACTAACACACTCAGGACAGACACACACACAGTAACACACTCACTGACACACACACACTCAATGATACACAAAAGCAGACACACACACACTAACAGACACACACAAACTAACACACTCAGTAACACTCACACACACAGTAACACACTCACTGACACACACGCACTAACACACAAACACACTCACATTTTTTTTATTATTATTTAATCCCCTAGCCTCCCTACTTTTGGGAGTGCTAAGGGGATTCCAGCTTTCCCTGGGGTCCAGTGAGGCTGCTGGGCGGCCGGTCACTGCAGGTGGCGAGGGAGCACTGATAGCTCCCTCGTGCTCCGCTTACTGATGCCGGAGCCGGAGTGACGTTATATTCCGGCTCCGGCATCACTGCGCCCGCCCACAAAGTTACGACACTGCCAGCCTCGGGGGGGCCCTGAGGTGGCCAGCTCCTGGGCCCCCCAGGAGATGAACTATTAAGCAAACGATCCCTGGGGGAGACAAAAGCCACCAAAAGTCACAGAGAAGGTCCCTTAGGGATCTGTAGTTCAATATAGTAATCTGTTCGATCGCAGTGTGCGATATTCATCAGCCTTTTAGCTAACTAAAGTAGCGACCTAGCGGATTGGGGGGCACTGGTTACAGTATAGACAAGTATGCCAGAATGCATGTTTAATGGATTACCTTAGGGTTACCAACGAATGAATTAATTGGTAGGTGTACGGATGTCTCCCAGTGCCTCCTTCACTATGCTATAGGTCTAATTACTTTATAAGAGCATTTAGTAGGAGTGGCTCTGTCGATTCTTCTACTTATTCAAGTATGTTTCATAAATATGGCCGGCACAACGGTTTTCCACCATTACTTTAGATCAGTACTAGATACTCTGTATGGTATCTTAGGCTGACACATTGTTTATAAGCGGCTACTGCAGGAAAACCGTGTGTTTATTTTTTAAAAATCCTGTATGTAACCGTTACATTCAATATTTCATGCTGGATATATCAGTTATACAAGGGACATACTAGCCCCTCCTTGGTTTTCCACCACTAATCTAGATCAGCACTAGACGCTTTGTACATTATCTTAGGCTGACACATTGTATATAAGAGGTTATTGCAGGAAAACCGTGGGTTTATTTTTTAATCCAATATTTATGGGGTATATATTTGATACTGTCCCCAGATCAGGTGTTTTAGCCATCTATTGAGCTCATACTGTTGTACATACTGTATATACTTAACACCACTTACCCATCGCATAGACTTCTAGCATCCCCAATTACTGTTAGTGAATGAACAATCCTACACTCAGGTCTCCCTAGAAGAGCCACGGTTGAGTTGGATAGGATAGCCCACATTGTTTGAAGCAGTCTATACGCTCACAGCGGTTGACTCAGGCACCCATCCATATGTAACTTAGTTCATTTATTGATATTTTCTAGACGACAATGTCACCTTCACACAATATCAAGTATACCCCATCAAAAAAAATTTATTTTCTATATTTTGGATAAGCAGCATGATGAACAAGTAAACTGCACAGTCAGATAGATGATAACAGTCTGGCAATGTGCAGGTCATCAGCATATGATTGACTACAGGATGTTATGTCTCCTAGACTCATGGTTTGCCCCAACACATAGTGTCATTCAGAGGCGTAACTAGAAACCATGGGGCCCCGGTACGAAAATTGCCCCAACAGCATTGGCCACTCGATGGGACCCTTCAATGCGGCTGGGGTCGCATTACTTAGCCGGCGGGACCCGAGGTCGTAGGGGTCCGCATGGTGGCCAGGCCCCCTAGACTGGCGGGCCCCTGAAACCGCGGTAGTTCCGCCACTGGTGTCATTTACCAGCCATTCTAAATGGGATCAGGACATATTGGATTGCAAATAAGCCACAATGATTTTGAAACAAAATTAAATCTGACAGCTTTTATTACGATTTTATCAGACAAGCAGACACAAACTGTTATACAAATATAATAATAAATTATAATTTTTTCTTTTTATAATTAATACTGGACAAAATGACAGTGTAACATATAGACTTGTGATGGAAAAGAAAATATACTTAACTGAATAAGAATAAGGTTTAGTTATCTTTTGAAAACAAATAAATAATAATAATCGTTATATTATTTGCAATCTGCCATTGCTATCCTTAGCACAGGTTGCATTTCAAAAATTTCTTTGAAAATACAAAATTTGTCAAATCTGCAGGCATCACAAAAAATCTGTGAGGATCAAAACATTCCCTTTTTTGTACGAGTGAACAAATAAAGATATTTGAAAAAAGAAGTGGAGAATAGAGTCCTAATTTTGATATTTCCTTGAGTGAAAGACATGTGCACCTACAAAAAGGTTACAATGAAATTATTGAATGAGCAGAAAGCAAAAACATATTCTCTGCATGCATTCATGAATGAAAACATAATTTTGCTTTGACTACATACCGTATTTCACCGCATAATAGTCACACCATGGTTTTTCTGCCCAAAAAAAGGTTCAAACCCAGTTTATCACGTAATAGTCGCATAATTGACCATTGCTGTTTTTTGTTGTTATTATTAAAAACTAATTGCGAACATCCTACTGATCTTATACTGAAGAGAGGGTCTATTACCTATCTGTTTATTGTATTTTAGTGTGTTTTATCTATGTAATGCATTAAAAAATGACAGGAGGAGAGGGGTCACAAACAGAGTTTATGTGATGCATTGGAAAATATGCTGTTATGTAATTAACAACTATACTGTTATCAGCAACTGTTACAAAACTGTTAAAAAAACAAAGCTTTGTATATATAATATGGCAAAAAATAAACCTTTGCATAATGGTCGCACCCCCATTTTTAAGGATTTAAGAATTATGTGGTGAAATACAGTCATTTTAATGGGAGTAAGAAGGGCCTCTGACTTTAAAATGGTACTCTCACCAAATGGTTCCCAACCCAGATCTAGGATGTTTTGGACTACATCTCCCTTGATGCTTTGCTAGCATTATGGCCCTAAGAGCATCATGGGAGATGTAGTCCAAAACATCTGAGATTGCCCACCCCTGCCCTAGACTATACAACAGGTTCCCAAACCTTGGATACATATAGGTTCAGTGCTAACATCTGAAATCATTGAAATCTCATATTTACTGAACCGGTGATGTCAGAAAAAGCAGAACAGTGACCACGCGGAAAGTATTGCTAGGCAAATGTTGCTCACACTTGCTTCAGATTTTTTGTTTCTGCTGTCCCTAAGAAATAAAAAAAACACCAACTATACAATATGTGTGTGTGCTTGTCGAGCACGTTACTTGGTGCATAAAATAGCATATTCAAGTGCCAATGCTTCTCCCTTCCCCACTTTAACCAACTATGAATAACTTGAGTGTGTTAGCTTGATTTTTTTGTTTTCTCCCCTCCATCATCGCTGCTGCTCTCTACTCTCCACCCACGGCCTATCTTTGTAAGGTTGTGAACATTTCAATGGTCCCTAGTATTAAAGAAACACTCCACTGTCAAAATACAAAATTTTATAAAACAAAATTTAAACTAAAAAATCACTGCATTATTTCATTATACATATTTACATTGGGAGGTTATATAAAACAGCTTGCTAGTTACTGCAAGCCCTCCCCTTCTTCCCCTCCCAGACCTCCTGTGGCTGTCCAATCACAGACATTCCAATGCAGCTTGATGAGAAGTCTTTGCAAGGCAATTGTCTGTCTCTCGAGTTTTGATCCGCCAAGTTAAAAAAAACAGGAAGTAACAGTACCTGTTGTCTGATTAACAGCCAGGAGGTGTAACAAGGTTAATTTATAAAAGTGCCAATTTCTATTTGTACTTTTTTGTAAAATGAAAAAAAAAAGAAAAGAGGTCACTCTTCACACACATGAAGTACTTCAGCAAACTGGAGTCTAAAGTGTCCCTTTAAGCGTGAGAACTGGGAAGCTCTCCCCTCCTTCCTGTTTTTACTTGCTCTATAGTCGTGTAAGGAAGCAGAGATATGTGACACCCTGCAGTGAAACTAGGGGTGGTTGTAGGTGCATGTGCCCCAGATGAAGTGGCATTGCCAGGGGCCAGGTGGACTCCTGTCTGAGCCTGGAGCTCTGGCACTGATGGCGCATTCCTCCCATACTAAACAAGGAAGGACACAAGAATTAAAGACCCATGACACTACTGAGGACAATTTGATTATAAATCTATCCTCTTTTACTCTAGAGACAAAACATAAATCTCTATTGAGTAAGGGTCTATCTTTTGTGCCCTCTCCTACAACAAATAAATTTAATTGGGTTAAGGATATTAATCTTTTTGGACGCAAACTTGCCTTAAATGTTACTCATAAAAGAAGAGATAACAAATTAGCAAAGGAATTAGGTTTATCCTATGAAGATTATCAAAATCTTCAGACCATGGTCTCTCTCTTGGAAGAGCAAGAATCTAAACAACCACTTACAAACTGCAAACCATTAAGCTGGCATACACCAAACTTTAAAGAAGTTTCTAGTGTTGATTTGTTTGTACAGATGACAACCAAATCCCTAGAATCTTTATCATCTCCTAAAAAGTATCCAGACAATTTAACTAAAGCGGAACGTGAGGCACTCAGAGATCTGAGCAACAACAAAAATCTTATCATAAAACAATCGGATAAAGGGGGCAACATAGTCCTAATGGATCAACAACAATATGTCAACATGTGTATGGAACATTTGAAAGATGACAGTCAATACAAAGTTCTCCCTTCTGATCCAACCAAGACGTACCTTTCAGAACTACAATCATTACTCAATCAGGCTTTAGAAAAAGATATTATTAACAGAGAGGAACATAGATTTATGATCCCCAATAATAGTCCTACTATCTCGACTTTTTATTGCCTTCCCAAAGTACATAAGTGCCTCACCAATCCACCAGGGAGGCCAATTATCTCTGGGAACAATTCCTTGACAGAAAAAGTCAGTAAATTTTTAGAAAAACTTTTGCATCCTTTTGTCACCAATTTAGAGTCCTATGTTCAGGACACTAAACAAACTCTATTAGCCTTGGAGAATTTAGTGGTCCCTCCATATACCCAACTTGCCAGTTTGGATGTTGTGTCCCTGTACAATAACATACCACATAATAAAGGTCTATGTGCAACCGCTTATTTTCTTCATAAATCCATCAAATACAATTCTGAACAAATTGAAACCATCTTGCTACTTTTAGAGTTTGTTCTCACCCACAACTACTTTGTGTTTGATGGTACACATTACTTACAGCTACGTGGTACTGCTATGGGCACGGCTTGTGCTCCTAGCTATGCCAATTTGTATTTAGGGTGGTGGGAAGAAACGATTTTAAAAGAGGTCACAGCACATGAATACCATCACTATATCCATAAGTGGTCTAGATATATGGATGATATCCTAATTTTTTGGACTAGCTCATGTTTAAAGTTCATGGAGATGGTTGGGGACTTAAACAATAATCAGATTGGCCTTAAACTTACTCATGTGATCCATGAGAGTCAACTGATATTCTTAGATTTAAGAATAATACTAAATATAGATGGATCCGTGGATACAGAACTCTTCAGAAAAAGTACAGCTTCCAACAATTTTTTACATTGGCAAAGTTTTCACCCCTACCGCCTCAAGGTAGGTATACCATATGGCCAATATCTTAGGGCCAGAAGGAACTGCTCTAAGGAGGAATCCTTTAGGATGGAAGCGAATATCCTAAGAACTCGCTTCAAAAATAAAGGATATCCTAATCGGATCCTTAAAAGAGCATATCAAAAAGCAATAGCCCAAGACAGAAGTCTTAGCCTCAGATCCAAAAAACCTGTCTCGACTAACCAACAGATAAGATGTATAGGTACCTTTGACCAACAATGGAAACCTATAAAAGAAATTTTTACACAACATTGGCCGATTCTGCAATATGACAATGACCTAGATCCAAAATCCATTGCATACCCTAATATCACTGCAAGAAGGTCAAGAAACCTTAGGGACATGCTAGTACACAGCCACCTGGAAAATAAATCATCACCAAAGAGTTGGCTAAGTGCACCTACAGGTGTCCACAAATGTGGACATTGTAAAGCATGCCCCTTTGTAAAACCAACTAAATTTGTCAAGTGTCAAAAAACTCAGAGAGAATTCCAAGTGAAAGATTTCATTAATTGTAGTACAACACGAATTGTTTACCTTATTACTTGCCAATGTGGGATACAATACATTGGAAAGACTTATCAGCAATTCAGGAGACGTATCTTACAGCATATCAATTCGGTTAAAAATTCTAATTTGAGCACTCCAGTTGCCAAACATGTTCGGAATTTTCACAATGGGGATCCAACTAACCTCTCATTCCAAGCCTTGGAAAAAGTTACTTTAAATTCAAGGAAAGGTAATTTTAATTTAATTTTATTACAAAAAGAATCGAGATGGATATATGAATTTCAGACTTTAACACCAGGGGGCCTCAATGAGGAATTTAATTTTACCCCCTTTATCCATTAGTTATTTATTTATTTTGAATTTATTTTCAGTGAAGATAATTTTGATCCAATTCTAAAATTACTATGGGAGTATTCTCCCCTTGAATCTACCCCCATATAAATGTCTAGATATTTAGTACTTTCTAATAATGCGATTGTATTTATAGTGTGACCCCCTTTAGGTTCCATCTACACGATTAGGAAGTTCCTCAAGCAGTGCGAAAACATCCTTAATTCTGCTTTGTTTATAAAATACCATCAATCTATAAAACAATGTTTGTAGGTTATCTAGCACTTTTTCTCATATATCACAATAATTTTCCTTCTCAGGTTCCACTTATAAATCACGATATCTCCTAGGCAATGTTAGGGAAGATATTTATACTCTATACTTTATATTCTTGCTAATTATTTAGCTCTTTGAACACAAACAGTTCTCATTCTGGCGTTTTTGCTAATTCATATAATCATATCGCTGTATTAACATCTGAATTTAAAAATTTTTCTCGTTATTGTAGCTATTACAGCATATCAAGAATGACTATCAGAATAATTATCACCATACTGCTATAATATAATCCTTTAACCTGGATATTAACAGCAGAATAATTATTTCAATCTGGTTACATTAAGACTCTAGCTCTCTAGGGGTTAACCTTTAAAACGATAGGAGAAATGTATTTACACGTCACAATAAATGACGTCACATCTCCTGCCTTATCCCTATTGGTTCTTCGGCATTAGGTTTTTTTGAACTAACCAATCCACTCCATTCACTTACCTTTAAATATCAGTCCTTTCCCGCACATCGGTTCCCCTCTGATGAGCTGCGGGCGGAACGCGCGTTAGGGGCAGGGGGCTCTTAGCTATCTGGCTGGTCTGGCGACAGTTTTTTGTTTGCATTTCAAGACTTTTACCCTTGGTAACTATACTAGGAGGTTTTTTCTGGAGCCCAACTCCAGCTAATGCAATTGTGGGAGGTTATTTGTGATTTATCTAAATCGATCTAGAAATTAAATCCCACAAAAGGAGTTTCTAATAAGTGCCGTTAACATTTATTTTTCAGGCACTATATCTGACACTCACACAGGGAGGTATGAATGACTTCTAAACACCTTGTGTGAGCCTAATTCATTGTTACAGATATCTCTCTGTCACACAATAACTTTGTCAGTATAGGCAATGGATAGTTCTTGCTTATATTCACACTGAACTATTAAGTAACTCTTGATTGTTAACACTATCTTTATAACATACTTTTTTGAGTTTACTTTTATATATTCTCTGTTACATCGATTTGTTACATTTTTTGGACAAGTAGAGATCGTTTTTGATCACTTGTAAGTCGACCTAGCAGCTATAATATTTTTTAACTCTACTTCTCTTGCTATTATTTAATTTTTGTACTGTTTTTCATTTGCTTCTAACAATATTTGCAAAATCAAAAGATTTTCTTAGCAAATGATAAAAGAGATGGATCCTGAAAACTTTTGAACAGGACCTCCCTTCCTATATTTAGAATATATCTATTAGGAGGATTGGTATTGTAATATTTTAAATGTTATTAGTAAAAGTTATATTTTAAAGGACACTCAACTCTCTTTCTCTCTTGTTTCATCAAGTGTATTCACATTTTTCTCCCAACTATATATCTGGATTTGTACTCTGGGGACCTGGTTCTGGGCATACCAGAGACAGGTCCCAGAAAGAATGAAAGCATAATTAAACACGAGTGCTCCATACTAAGCGGTTTTTGTCAATACCATATCTACCATGTGGTCCTGTTTGAAAGGTGATGGTCAATATGTTCCTCTTTTCTATCCTGTAACTCTTTCCTAGGAGCTCCACGTTATTGGTGTGTCTGAGTGTATCACAGAGCTCAATAAGCAATAATACTCAAAATGATGTATCTTCAAACGACAATTATTTATTTATAAACTATTTTACCAGGAAGGATACATTGAGATTTATCTCGTTTTCAGGTATGTCCTGGATCCACAAAACATTGCATTGATACAATAGGGTACAATAAAATGCAAAAACAATATCAATACACAATAAAAACAACATTTACCATAGAACAGGTAAGAAATATATAATCAACCATGACATGTGCATTCTGTTTTGAGGTATGTAGAGAGGGATCTCTTAAAGGATTTTAGGCTTGGGGAAGATTTGAAAGTGTGCGGGAGGTCGTTCCACGATTGCGGCGCTCTGTAGAAAAAGGAGGATCGATCCGCTTTCTTTTTGTATTGAGGTAGACTAAATAAAGTGTCGGTACTGGATCGGAGGTTATAGGAGGTGGGAACAGCTGGGGAGAGCATTCTGCCCAGGTAGGATGGGAGCTTCCCAGAAAAGCTCTTAAACACAAGGCTGGAAAGATGAAGGGTGCGTCTGGATTCCAGCGACAGCCAGTTTAGTTCTTTTAGCATGTCACAATGGTGGGTCATGTAATTAAATTCTAGTACAAAGCAGCAGAACGAGTTATACAATGTATTAAGCTTATTAAGGTGAGTTTGCGGTGCAGGTGCTGTACAATCTTTTCCTTCACTGTAGGGCTTAGGCAGGATTTATTTCTGTACGGGGCACATAGTTTTAGATAACGTTTTGATGCACTTTTTTCCATTTGTTTTCCATGTGTTTAGA